CCGGCTGGACGTGGGCCGTGCCATGGAGCATGTGCACCGGGGCCAGCCAGGGTTCCCCAACGGAGTCGCGGTCCGATGGGTTGGAACTTTGGCCCATTTCTAGTGGCCCCAAAAGGTTAACCTTTTATTTCTGGGTCATTTGGGCGACCGAATGTACATGGGATGCATTCAAACTTGGGATTCGAGCATGAAAAGGGGAGAAGGGGAAGGCAAAGACCCGCATGATGGCCCCCACGGTTCTTTCGTCAGCCTGTTTCTGCTGGCAGGACAGAAGTGGGGAACGGCCTTGCAATTTCTCGCACTTCTGTTTGTGGCAAGTTCTTCAAGCAACTGTTTTTCAAGCACATGGAATGAACACGCTGAATGGCCGAACTTGGTTTCCATCATCAAGGAATCAAGGAATGCTCCACCCACTTCAAAGTGTTTGGATGCAATTGCATTTCGACGGACGCCCAGGCCTGTGAGTGGCTTCGACTGAGTGCCGAAGCCTTGATAGACGGCTGGTGCGCAGGATGCTGGAAGTTGTTTCCTTCCAAGCTTTCACAGGTCTCTTGGCCGGATGTGGCTTTGCTTTCCTGAGGGCTTCAAGCTGCATATGAGGAATATGGCATATGCGGGCCTTTATCAGCCATTGGGCCGAGCGAAACATAGTCTTGACCGGCGTTGTCTGAGATGAAGCAGAGCTCACCACCTGCCCAGGTCACAGCCATGCAGCCGCGTTGAGAGGACCGCCGGGCTTCTGGGGGTCCTGGGCTTTCCCTGAAGCTTTGCGTTGGCTCACCCGGCTCATCCCCACAGACGCCAACCAGTCATTCGACTAGCAGAGTTGACAGAGGTTAGATAGGTCTCCTTGTTTACCCCCTACAAAGAGGAAGTGTGTCATGCTCCTAAGGACCCAAGACTGCCCTTGACTGTGTCTCCTTGCCGTCGTTTCGCTCACACCTGTGTGGCTGATGGAACGTCAACCGCTGCAGCTTGGGGCCTGTGTTCCATGGAGATCGAATTTCGGACATGGGAACATGGGCTGGCCGGCGCACCGACAGTTTGCATGGCAGGGGAGCACCAAGAAATTGCCTTGCCGAGCCACAAGGGACAGGGTCTCTTTGGCAGGCTTTGCGTGGCGATCAGGATGGTCCATGAAGAAGGGCCGCTTGGGACGACGCTCTCCAAGCCAACTTCGTGCAACTTGGCATGAAGCGACAGCAAGTCTGAGAGCGTGTTGGGCCGACCACTGTGCAGCCTGGACGCTTGGTACTTAGGGATGGTCAGGCTTCAGATGAGCACGAGAGTGTTTGAAAGGAGGTCAGTCCAGTGTCTGAGATTTGACTCGCTTTGTTTGTACTATTCGTACTGGTGGGCCATGAGTGTGTTTTTGGAGAGTAGCGTTTTGAGCTTTTGGGGTCGTTGGAACCGGAAACCACAAGGAAGCCAACCTTTATGTTGCGACACTCAAATGGACTCCAGCACACATATCTTTGTTTAGAGGGATTCAGGCGACGGCCTCAGGCCAGCTCTGAGTTTCGCCCATGAAGGTTCTTTGCTTGTGGATGCCTTGCACATCAGCTTGATGAATCGCACATGCCACTCCCGAGGCACTGTCCGAGGCGAGCGCGCTCGCACGCGCATGCGCTCGCGCGGCTGGCAGCTGGCGTGTGCTCTATCTGCGGTTGCAGCGTCAAAGCTCGGCGAAAAAGGCGGAGGGGCTTGGGAAAGGGGCAAAGCGGGGGATCTATAGAGAGAGCTCGCCTAGGAATACCACCGGAATGGTTTGTTTGTGGGCTTGACCGTTCAGTTTGTCCCGAAAATCCGCTCTCACCATCAAATAACCCGCTCAGAATGTGCAGGCATCGGAGCGTAGCCATACCAAGAATCGTAGCAGTTTATGTTCTAACCCCAATTGGAAACGGTCATTGGCTCTCACGCACGAACATATGTTAACTTGGCTTATGATTTACAAATTTGAGCTCGCTGAATCGATACATGATATAATGATATATATATATAGCTTGTGTACAGTGCTGCGGAGGCTGTGACAGAACGCATGGTTTGATCATCTCCACTGGCTGATTGATCAACTTGCATTTTCCTTTTTGACTGCACCAAACGGCAGTGCTTGCGCAGCCTTTCGTATGTGGTCATGGCGGTGGCTCAAAGGTAGATGGCAGAGGGCGGGCAGGGACACATTCCAGTCCGTGCATACTTGCATTGCAGTGACCACACTCTTGGCTGCAAGAGCTGCTTACGAGTTTATGCTAGGTGCCGCCAGCAACTGCTAGCTTGTTGGCAAAACTCCTGCCGCCACCTCCCCAAGGCCATGGTCCATGATGTCGATGTACTTCTGTTCTGTAGCAGCCTTTTCAAGTGTGAAACCGTATTCTCGGGCGCCGTCTCCTAACCACGGATCTGGAGAGAAAGCACATACAGAACACGTCGCCCAGGGTTTGGTGGCTTGCAAGCAGCCTCATGTCCTTTGCGCGCGCGTGCCGGAGCCCCCCGTTGCGACCAGAGTCGCCACAGGCGGGTCCGGTCCGGGAGGCTTGGAGAGCGTTCAGGCTGACCATGTGAAAACAGAGAGCTCTAAAGACCCGTTGAGTTTCGGCAGCATTTTGCTCAAGCTGTTTACGGCGCTTGCCAGCTTCCTCCAGCGCTTCAAGTGACTCGCCATGGCCGCTCGTGCGCTGTTCTTGGCCGCTTGTGTGTGGGCCGCCCAAGGGGCGATCAACACCACTGGGTTGTTTTGCCAGTTCGGGTGTTACGACGAGGAGGACGAGGCCTGCCACGCGGGCTTGAACCCGAACCAGTGTGCCGAGATCTACGGGCACGTGGAGTGGGCCCAGGTGTGCGAGTGCGTGGACGACCAGGGCCAGGCGCTCAACCTCACAGCAGAGTACAAGGGCGCAGCGGCCAACATCTACTTCTCAGTGCCGGCCTTTGTGGTTCTCTTCCGGGAGAGCCTGGAGGTGGTCATCGTGCTGTCCATCATCGTGCAGTTCTTGTACAAGATGCGGCAGGACGGGCTGATGGAGGACAAGCAGTTCTACCGCTTCCGGCGCGAGGTCTACTTCGGCGCGGGCCTGGGCTTCTGCATTTGCCTGGTCTTCGGCGTGGGATTTTTGGCACTGGCATCCCTGACCTTCCAACTCTTCGAGGGAGACAACGAGCTGATCTTCGAGTTCTGCATGATGATGATCACTTGCCTGGTGCTCACCTTTCTGGCCGTGAACTTCTACAAGATGATCTACACCAAGGAGGCCCACGAGCGGAAGATGAAGAAGAAGATGGAGGAGACGCTGCAAGCTTCCCGACAGGCCGAAGGGGGGGAAGAGGTGCAGTTCGGTCGGAAGCACGCCTTCTTCGTGTTGGCCTTCACCACCGGCCTGCGGGAGGGCCTGGAGTCCATCGTGTTCTTGGTCGGGGTGGTCTCGGACCTCAAGGATTTGAGCAGCCTGCCGCTGCCATTGATCTCTGCTTTGGTGCTTTCGCGCCTGGTGGGCTGCTGCTTCTTCCAAGGGACCAAGAACATGCGGGTGGACTGGTTCATGCGCCTCTCCGCCGTCTTGCTGCTCTTCATCGCCGCGGGGTTCTTCGCCTCCTCCATGCACGTGCTGCAGGAGCTGGACGCCTTTGGGACCTGGAGCCCCAGGGCCCAGCGGCCCTGGCAGAACGAGAAGGTCTGGGACGCCACGGAGTGCTGCAACGACAAGACCAACCGCTTCTTCGTGCTCATGCGCGCGCTCTTCGGCTGGCAGGACCAGGCCACCCCGGTGGAGATCTTCGCGTACTTCATCTACTGGATCATGGCCGTGCTGGGGGTGTCCCTGCTGATCTGGCGCGCCAAGAAGCAGCTGGCGAAGATGGTGGAGCAGTGGAGGCTGCAGGATGCCCAGGAGGCCCAGCATGCCCAGCATGTGCAAGATGCCCAGAAGGAGCCTGCCGAGGATGTGGCCCTGTGAGATCTGCCACAGAAGCGCTGGCCCAGCTCCGACCTCCGTTTCTGAAGCAAGACGCCGGCCAAGCCGCGAAGCATTTTTCGGAGGGGAGGGTTGCGGATTTCGGCCACTCGGCTGGTGCCTTTTTTGTTTGGAGGCGTATTTTGAGCCGCAAGGCCGTCCAACTGCCCAGTTCGCTGGATTTCACCAGGATTACCAGTTTTACATGTGCACTGATTATACCTCCCCCCAAAAAGGTGAGCGCTTTAGTTCACTATCTTAGCTTAGTCCGAGGAAATTACCTGTCCAGGGACTCGTTCTTGGGATTGGGCCAATTGTCCACAGCCTTGCGGGGTTTTTCGCTGCATCGGCTTCCCATCTGAGTCCGAAAGGCACACGCGTGAAGGCTCAGGTGTGTTCGCACAGTGTGAGAGGACGCGGAGGCGGTGTAGTTAGCACCGCTGGTTTTCGCTGCTCGAAGCCATGAGCTGATTTTTGGTTGCCTTTTTTTTTTTCTCCCAGTGGGACCTTGACGCCACAACTTTGAAAGGCCTGCTGAATTATGTGTTGCCTTTGGCTTGATCGGTGCAGTCCTGCTTGGGAGGGGTTGATCGAATTGCGGTCTACCTTCCTCCAGATGCCCTAGCCCCTTCACAAGTGGAACTTTATGAGAACCATCAGAACCATCAGAACCAAGTTGCTCCATGGAGTAAGAGATCGACACCTTCAGGTGCTGGGCATAGATTTGTTACAGCCCGCCGTAGATCTCACGGCATCCCTTGACCGCTGGGCCGGTTCTTGCCATCCGAATGCGCTGGTTCTGGACTTGTAAAGGCAGGGGCTTTTTGGGCCCGGCGGGGATTTGATTTGTACTCAGCTCTGGCTGGCGTTTTTTCCCCCCGGAGTTGTGAATGTGAACTGACTTGTAAAAGCGGGCAGAGAGTGTCCCCATAGATTTGCACAAGTGGCCTTGGGTGACAGGTGAACTGCGGCAAGAAAAAGGCGCTTTGGATCACCGGGGTTTACTTGTTTCTGCCCCAAGACCTTAGAGCGTTTCCAGACGGGGAGGGCATGCGTAGCCCCTTTTTCATTGGGTTTAGCGGGAAACCAAAAGGAAAACCAGCAATTTGCGGGGTCCGCCGAAACAAACACACTCGCACATACGTATGTAATCTGTATATGCCATTGTACCAATACTTCGGACCTTAGGAGTGAATCAAAGTTCCGTTTTAGAGCGCCCATTTCCGCGGAACATGCATCGATTCGCAAAGCGCGACTGGACCAAGGGACTCGACGGCCTTAGCTGAAGCTGAGCCGCATGCAAGAAAATGACATGGGAGGTCCGAAATCCGAAAGCGCTCCCAGTCGCTGGTTGTGTGGCCGGTTCTGCGCCTCAGAGCCAGGCGCGGGGCTTTCGAGAGAAGGCCCGGCAGCTGTCGCCAAGGCGGCGATGCACCAACAGGGGGCGGAGCTGTGTCATGGGCGATACGCTGTGTGGGTGGCCCAGTAAAAGGATTCTGTATTCCCCTTATGCTAAAAAATCGCCATGGTTGTTGATGAACCCCATGGTCATTCTGGCAACCCAACCATGATCAAGCCATCAGCCCATGGCCATTTGGATGTGTCTCTTTTTGGTGGACCCCCAAAGTTGGCGATTGTCCTTTTGGTTTCCTGGTTACAACCACGAAAAAGAGGGTGTACCCCCCCAAAAAAAGTCGACATGCCCATTTTAAGGGCACCCCACCGACCCCAAAAGCATCTTTCTAGGGGTTGATTCCCCATTCTTGCCAAAAACCAGCTGTTTCTTTCAGGTTTTGTAGAAAGAAGGATGCCTGGAAAGAATGGAGCAGGTCGCCCGAATAAGAGGGTTCCCCCCAAAAATGTCGACCCCAAAGAGGGGGTACCCCCCAAAGAGGGGGCACCCCTCCGACCCCAAAAACCTCTTCGCCCCACGTCTCTCGGCTCGAGGGGCCGCGCTTCCAACGGCGCCTCGCCGGCCAACTCGCGGCGCAACTCGCTGGATGCTTCCGTGCCCGGGCGAATGGCGGACAGAAAAGACTCTACAGACCCTACATGTGCATGTGTAAATGTGCCAGGTCCCCCAGCAGTGCCCTTCTCTCCCCTTTTTTGGTTGGGAGGGTTCCCCTACTAAAATAGACTACAGAAGAAAGGGTACCCTTATTCTAACCTCTCCACTGGAGGACCTAGTGTGTATATTCAGATATACGCAATGTACAGAACATGTATATATAAATTATATATATATATATATATGCAGAGGTATTTGCTACCCCCCGAAGAAAAACACAACTGCAGTGCCGCGGAGGTATTTGCTACCCCGAAGCAAAACACAACTGCAGTGCTGAGAACACCTTTAAAAAAAAACAAAAAACAAAAAACGCAAAACATGTCTCCAAGTGTTACGCAACGATTTACTTTTGCGTAAGAAGCCCCCTGCACTACAGACCTACGTAGCAGAATAAGCATATATTCAATCCTAAACCCAACATGGCTGGATTGATGCTTGCTTTGTTCGTCTTGTGTGTATTTTTGTTCATTGGTCTGTGGGCCCATTGGTCCATGGGTGCAGGGAGAGTCTTGCGCACAATTTGCCAAATGTCGCACACGGTGACACATACACACACACGCATGTTGTGCAGCATGTTTCTTGGACCAACAAACTGTGGAGCCAAAGCAAAACCGAAGACTTCAGGACACAAGCTACAGCAAAAAAGCAAACATCACCACCAATCCAGCCCTGGCGTGGCTGGGATTGTGTTTGTTGTTTTTGCCGGTATGTGTGTTGTTTCTTGTTGATCAGGTTTGATTTTGGGGCCCATTGATCGCACACATGTTCAACATTTTCCAAATGCCCGCTTGACATGTTGCTAGCAGACGCTGCGTAACATGTCCAAGAACGGCGAACGCAATTTTCTGTTGTTGTGTTCAGGGATGGCTTGTGACAGTATCAGGGCAGTTGTTGAACTATCTCAAGCTTTTAGAAGGACACATCAAGTATCGCAACTAACATATCCTAAGCCAAAAGGACATCACCGTGATAGTGAATCTTTCCCTGAACGTCTCCAAGATATGTATATACATATCTGTACTGTATGTGTATGTATGTAATGTATGTATGTATGTATGTATGTATGTACGTACGTACGTACGTACGTATGCTATGTATGTATGTATGTATGTATGTATGTATGTATGTATGTATGTATGTATGTATGTATGTATGTATGTATGTATGTATGTATGTATGTATGTATGTATGTATGTATGTATGTATGTATGTATGTATGTATGTATGTATGTATGTATGTATGTATGTATGTATGTATGTATGTATGTATGTATGTATGTATGTATGTATGTATGTATGTATGTATGTATGTATGTATGTATGTATGTATGTATGTATGTATGTATGTATGTATGTATGTATGTATGTATGTATGTATGTATGTATGTATGTATGTATGTATGTATGTATGTATGTATGTATGTATGTATGTATGTATGTATGTATGTATGTATGTATGTATGTATGTATGTATGTATGTATGTATGTATGTATGTATGTATGTATGTATGTATGTATGTATGTATGTATGTATGTATGTATGTATGTATGTATGTATGTATGTATGTATGTATGTATGTATGTATGTATGTATGTATGTATGTATGTATGTATGTATGTATGTATGTATGTATGTATGTATGTATGTATGTATGTATGTATGTATGTATGTATGTATGTATGTATGTATGTATGTATGTATGTATGTATGTATGTATGTATGTATGTATGTATGTATGTATGTATGTATGTATGTATGTATGTATGTATGTATGTATGTATGTATGTATGTATGTATGTATGTATGTATGTATGTATGTATGTATGTATGTATGTATGTATGTATGTATGTATGTATGTATGTATGTATGTATGTATGTATGTATGTATGTATGTATGTATGTATGTATGTATGTATGTATGTATGTATGTAATGTAATGTAATGTATGTATGTATGTATGTATGTATGTATGTATGTATGTATGTATGTATGTATGTATGTATGTATGTATGTAATGTATGTATGTATGTATGTATGTATGTATGTATGTATGTATGTATGTATGTATGTATGTATGTATGTATGTATGTATGTATGTATGTATGTATGTAATGTATGTATGTATGTATGTATGTATGTATGTATGTATGTATGTATGTATGTATGTATGTATGTATGTATGTATGTATGTATGTATGTATGTATGTATGTATGTATGTATGTATGTATGTATGTATGTATGTATGTATGTATGTATGTATGTATGTATGTATGTATGTATGTATGTATGTATGTATGTATGTATGTATGTATGTATGTATGTATGTATGTATGTATGTATGTATGTATGTATGTATGTATGTATGTATGTATGTATGTATGTATGTATGTATGTATGTATGTATGTATGTATGTATGTATGTATGTATGTATGTATGTATGTATGTATGTATGTATGTATGTATGTATGTATGTATGTATGTATGTATGTATGTATGTATGTATGTATGTATGTATGTATGTATGTATGTATGTATGTATGTATGTATGTATGTATGTATGTATGTATGTATGTATGTATGTATGTATGTATGTATGTATGTATGTATGTATGTATGTATGTATGTATGTATGTATGTATGTATGTATGTATGTATGTATGTATGTATGTATGTATGTATGTATGTATGTATGTATGTATGTATGTATGTATGTATGTATGTATGTATGTATGTATGTATGTATGTATGTATGTATGTATGTATGTATGTATGTATGTATGTATGTATGTATGTATGTATGTATGTAATGTAATGTAATGTAATGTAATGTAATGTAATGTAATGTAATGTAATGTAATGTAATGTAATGTAATGTAATGTGTATGTATGTATGTATGTATGTATGTATGTATGTATGTATGTATGTATGTATGTATGTATGTATGTATGTATGTATGTATGTATGTATGTATGTATGTATGTATGTATGTATGTATGTATGTATGTATGTATGTATGTATGTATGTATGTATGTATGTATGTATGTATGTATGTATGTATGTATGTATGTATGTATGTATGTATGTATGTATGTATGTATGTATGTATGTATGTATGTATGTATGTATGTATGTATGTATGTATGTATGTATGTATGTATGTATGTATGTATGTATGTATGTATGTATGTATGTATGTATGTATGTATGTATGTATGTATGTATGTATGTATGTATGTATGTATGTATGTATGTATGTATGTATGTATGTATGTATGTATGTATGTATGTATGTATGTATGTATGTATGTATGTATGTATGTATGTATGTATGTATGTATGTATGTATGTATGTATGTATGTATGTATGTATGTATGTATGTATGTATGTATGTATGTATGTATGTATGTATGTATGTATGTATGTATGTATGTATGTATGTATGTATGTATGTATGTATGTATGTATGTATGTATGTATGTATGTATGTATGTATGTATGTATGTATGTATGTATGTATGTATGTATGTATGTATGTATGTATGTATGTATGTATGTATGTATGTATGTATGTATGTATGTATGTATGTATGTATGTATGTATGTATGTATGTATGTATGTATGTATGTATGTATGTATGTATGTATGTATGTATGTATGTATGTATGTATGTATGTATGTATGTATGTATGTATGTATGTATGTATGTATGTATGTATGTATGTATGTATGTATGTATGTATGTATGTATGTATGTATGTATGTATGTATGTATGTATGTATGTATGTATGTATGTATGTATGTATGTATGTATGTATGTATGTATGTATGTATGTATGTATGTATGTATGTATGTATGTATGTATGTATGTATGTATGTATGTATGTATGTATGTATGTAATGTATGTATGTATGTATGTATGTATGTAATGTATGTATGTATGTATGTATGTATGTATGTATGTATGTATGTATGTATGTATGTATGTATGTATGTATGTATGTAATGTATGTATGTATGTATGTATGTATGTATGTATGTATGTATGTATGTATGTATGTATGTATGTATGTATGTATGTAATGTATGTATGTATGTATGTAATGTATGTAATGTAATGTATGTATGTATGTATGTATGTATGTATGTATGTATGTATGTATGTATGTATGTATGTATGTATGTATGTATGTATGTATGTATGTATGTATGTATGTATGTATGTATGTATGTATGTATGTATGTATGTATGTATGTATGTATGTATGTATGTATGTATGTATGTATGTATGTATGTATGTATGTATGTGTATGTAATGTAATGTAATGTAATGTAATGTAATGTAATGTATGTATGTAATGTAATGTATGTATGTATGTATGTATGTATGTATGTATGTATGTATGTATGTATGTATGTATGTATGTATGTATGTATGTAATGTAATGTAATGTAATGTAATGTGTAATGTAATGTAATGTAATGTAATGTAATGTAATGTATGTAATGTAATGTAATGTAATGTAATGTAATGTAATGTAATGTAATGTAATGTAATGTAATGTAATGTAATGTAATGTAATGTAATGTAATGTAATGTATGTAATGTATGTATGTATGTATGTATGTATGTATGTATGTATGTATGTATGTATGTATGTATGTATGTATGTATGTATGTATGTATGTATGTATGTATGTATGTATGTATGTATGTATGTATGTATGTATGTATGTATGTATGTATGTATGTATGTATGTATGTATGTATGTATGTATGTATGTATGTATGTATGTATGTATGTATATGTATGTATGTATGTATGTATGTATGTATGTATGTATGTATGTATGTATGTATGTATGTATGTATGTATGTATGTATGTATGTATGTAATGTATGTAATGTATGTATGTATGTATGTATGTATGTATGTATGTATGTATGTATGTATGTATGTATGTATGTATGTATGTATGTATGTATGTATGTGTATGTATGTATGTATGTATGTATGTATGTATGTATGTATGTATGTATGTATGTATGTATGTATGTATGTATGTATGTATGTATGTATGTATGTATGTATGTATGTATGTATGTATGTATGTATGTATGTATGTATGTATGTATGTATGTATGTATGTATGTATGTATGTATGTATGTATGTATGTATGTATGTATGTATGTATGTATGTATGTATGTATGTATGTATGTATGTATGTATGTATGTATGTATGTATGTAATGTATGTATGTATGTATGTATGTATGTATGTATGTAATGTAATGTAATGTATGTATGTATGTATGTATGTAATGTATGTAATGTATGTATGTATGTATGTATGTATGTATGTATGTATGTATGTATGTATGTATGTATGTATGTATGTATGTATGTATGTATGTATGTATGTATGTAATGTAATGTAATGTATGTAATGTAATGTATGTAATGTATGTATGTAATGTAATGTATGTATGTATGTATGTATGTATGTATGTATGTATGTAATGTATGTATGTATGTAATGTATGTATGTATGTATGTATGTATGTATGTATGTATGTATGTATGTATGTATGTATGTATGTATGTATGTATGTATGTATGTATGTATGTATGTATGTATGTATGTATGTATGTATGTATGTAATGTAATGTAATGTAATGTAATGTAATGTAATGTAATGTAATGTAATGTAATGTAATGTAATGTAATGTAATGTAATGTAATGTAATGTAATGTAATGTAATGTAATGTAATGTAATGTAATGTAATGTAATGTATGTATGTATGTATGTATGTATGTATGTATGTATGTATGTATGTATGTATGTATGTATGTATGTATGTATGTATGTATGTATGTATGTATGTATGTATGTATGTATGTATGTATGTAATGTAATGTAATGTAATGTAATGTAATGTAATGTAATGTAATGTAATGTAATGTAATGTAATGTAATGTAATGTAATGTAATGTAATGTAATGTATGTATGTATGTATGTATGTATGTATGTATGTATGTATGTATGTAATGTATGTAATGTAATGTAATGTAATGTAACGTAACGGAACGTAAAATAAAAATGAAAATAAAAGAAAATAATAAACAAAAAACCAACTAATATAATTATAAAAAAGGAAATGACAGCTATTACAAAAAGGATTATAAATCTAACATAAGAAAAAGATAAAAAAGGGAAATAAGAAAAGAGAAATAAAAGAAAAACAAGAAATAAATATAAACAAACAATAAAAGAAAATAATAGAATAGAAATAATGGGACATGAAAATAATAGCTTCCTTCGTGCCTCAGATAAATCTATTATTCTCATGTTGAATATTTATTTTGTATTACTAATGAAATCTCATTTACAATCATATCCTTGTCCTCTGATCATAAATTATTTTTGGAATCTTGGTTTTTTATTAGGAATTACTATTTTATTACAAATTATCTCTGGAATCTTCTTAGGTTTACATGTAACATCAGATATTAATTCAGCATATTTTAGTATTTTCTTTTTAATTAGAGAAATATATTATGGATGGTGTTTACGTTATCTTCATTCTAATGGTGCATCATTTGTCTTTCTTTTTATATTTCTACATCTTGGAAGAGCTATATCTTATGCTTCATATTTTTATAATCCTAAAAGGAGGGAAAGAAACTTCAAGATCCTACAGCCACAAAGGGAATTAATATTATAGCTTTTTTATATTGTTTTTCTTTTATTTATTTTATTATTGTAATCCTACCTTAATTCAAGGGCTTCCCCGGCTCTTCACCAAGGAATAGACTCTGAGGCAATAATGAAAAGGTCCTACAAATGAAGGCAGGAGAAAGGCATGTTAGGTCTACAGGAAATATATTATGGATTAATAGAGGAGAGATATGGAAAGAGAGATATAGATAAAGGCCTTTCCCTGCTGTCTTTCCTATCCCATTCTTGTTCTTGGAGTTAAGAGATGAGATTATGAAAGTAAAAGAGAGAGATATGAAAAGCATTCTCATAATTCCATCTCTTACCTAACCTCCAGGACTCACCCACTCATTCACTCGTTAATCCTCATTCATATCCTATATCCACAAACCCATCAATAATACAAATAACCTAAAGAAGAAAACAATAGAAAACTAAAAAGGGAAAGAATATGAGGTTATAGTGCTTCCCAGCCTCTTTGTCACGGCTCTTCTCTATCTTCAATCTCTGATGTCCAAATGCCGTGACCAAGAGGAAGAGGCTGGAAGCTGAGAGAGAATGGATTTGAGGGCATCTTTTCTCTTCTTGTAATGTAATGTAATGTAATGTAATGTAATGTAGTGTAATGTAATGTAATGTATATGTATGTATGTATGTATGTATGTATGTATGTATGTATGTATGTATGTATGTATGTATGTATGTATGTATGTATGTATGTATGTATGTATGTATGTATGTATGTATGTATGTATGTATGTATGTATGTATGTATGTATGTATGTATGTATGTATGTATGTATGTATGTATGTATGTATGTATGTATGTATGTATGTATGTATGTATGTATGTATGTAATGTATGTATGTATGTATGTATGTATGTATGTATGTATGTATGTATGTATGTATGTATGTATGTATGTATGTATGTATGTATGTATGTATGTATGTATGTATGTATGTATGTATGTATGTATGTATGTATGTATGTATGTATGTATGTATGTATGTATGTATGTATGTATGTATGTATGTATGTATGTATGTATGTATGTATGTATGTATGTATGTATGTATGTATGTATGTATGTATGTATGTATGTATGTATGTATGTATGTATGTATGTATGTATGTATGTATGTATGTATGTATGTATGTATGTATGTATGTATGTATGTATGTATGTATGTATGTATGTATGTATGTATGTATGTATGTATGTATGTATGTATGTATGTATGTATGTATGTATGTATGTATGTATGTATGTATGTATGTATGTATGTATGTATGTATGTATGTATGTATGTATGTATGTATGTATGTATGTATGTATGTATGTATGTATGTATGTATGTATGTATGTATGTATGTATGTATGTATGTATGTATGTATGTATGTATGTATGTATGTATGTATGTATGTATGTATGTATGTATGTATGTATGTATGTATGTATGTATGTATGTATGTATGTATGTATGTATGTATGTATGTATGTATGTATGTATGTATGTATGTATGTATGTAATATATGGTACTTCCGCTGTTTCACGGGCAACATGGAATGCTGCATTGCTGCACTGCTAGAGAGCAAGGGAATAACTATGCGTCTGAATAACGGATACATGAGTTTTTGCGCATCCCTTACATACAATGGATGCTCACACACACACAATATCTTACACTGGCAGCATTGCGCAGAACCACTCCCGCCTCACTATGCCTCATTGCCCATGGCTAGCAGAAAAGTTGCACATCAAGCAGGGCCTGTAAAGCTTCACCCAAACTGCAGAGATTGTTACAAGGCCGTGATACACGCTGGGTGACTTGATGAACCTCTGTCTGACATCCTCTTCTGCCACCTGCAAATTGCTCACATGAGGCGTCGCTGTCAAAGGCGCCCAGCGACCTTTCGCCCTCGCTGAGTCTGAAAAGCCTCTCCCGGGTATCGCGGACCTCCACTGCGCAGCGGGCCCGGCCGTTTTGGCGGACGGGCGGGCGGGCGGATGAGGTCGTTTGGGAGAAGTGAAAGCGCGAGCCCTCTTTGGCTTGCCGTTGCCAAGTGGGGGGATAAATAAGACAGCTTGCTGTCGGGGATGGCCTCCTTTTATCTTTTGACATTTCATAGGTCTTAGAATCCTAGAAGAAACAGAATGCATTGGTTCCGATTCGTGGCTTCGCTTGGAATGCTCCATCACCAATTTGAAGGCGGTTTCTGCGGGCCAGATTGTGTTGCAAGCTGAGCGCATAGCCAGGTTCCTTGTCTTCAAGCAAAACTCAGGGAAGCCCAAGTAGGCTTTAGGCTTGCTTCCTTGAGGTGATGTGTGTGTGTGTGGATGTGCATAGTTGTATACATATCAATATATGTATACCTACACATATTTGTTATGTCCCTCTCTCTCTCTCTCTCTTTGTGCGAGTCTCCGTGTCTCTATTGTTTGCGTGTGTCTGTGTGCATGAGCATGTGCTAAAGGCGGAGAGTAGGGTCCTCTGCTGCACTTTCAATATCATAATGTATCCTCAAATCTGGCGAAACACGTTTCCAGACAAAAGCTGGACATGCTAGTGTCCGTGGAGAAGATACAAAGTCCACACGCCCAGCCGTCGTGGGGCCTGTTCATTCCGGAGTTCGGGAAGTTGAACACCCATGTTTCAAGGAAATATGGCCATGGTTCAAAACCAATGGTACCATGTTGGGATAGGTGCACCACCCATTCTAGTCTATTTTTGTGGGGATTGGGATGTTCGTTCTTGGAGGTCTGCGCATCACCGGATGACCACTCCGACGCATGCATTCGAGCAATCTGAAATGGACCTGCCAAACAAGCCGAGGGAGAGTTACACTTGCTCGGGCTCCACTTGAACATGGCTTCATTCAATTGCGATCAAGATGTTGAAGAGCTTCGTAGTTCACAAGCCCAACAAGCATATGCTACTGTAGCGTTCATGCAAATTGTGAGTTGGCCAGGCTCGCTTTCATTTGTTTCTTGCCAGGGGAGACATGCTGCATTGCATGAGGAGTTGAACAAGTTCAATCGTGCGTGAATCTGCACCTTTCCTTTTGGCTGCCAGGTCTGCTGGTGCAGCGAGGGCGTCCCTGTTCAACCTTGTCACCAAGTGCAGGTACGCACAAAAGCGCCCTGGCACAAATCGTCCGCTTCAACGCTGTTGCCGAGGTCACAATGCTAAATCGGGACTGATATGCGAACGTGGATGTCGCAATCAGAGCAGCGCGGTCACCAGTCACAAGTCAAGAGCAGCCAGTCAAGCATTGCAGAACAGCCGATGCCTGGCATGCCAGAGTCTTGCAATGACATTTAGATATCTGAAGAAACACTGGCGGGTCTCTCAATGACTGACTTTGCCACTTGGAGCATCCTTTTCAAGTTTGAGTCTAACGCTGATGCGGCACGTTGCAACTGGCATGGTTTTGCTGAAACCAATCGAACATACCTTGGTGAGTGGCCATGCCTTGTTTTTCGCTTAGCATGGAGCTGTTTGCCTTTTTGAAGCTGCAAGATCCCTGAAGACTAATGGTGTGAAGCTGTAAATATGAGGTCTTCGCGGTAGCTATTGTACCTAGAGGCCTTCGAGTTGCCCAGCGCTTTCCAATCTCAGCTTTTCTTGCCTGCCAAAGGCTCTCAACACTTTGGGCGTCCAGTCCCCGTGCCACAGTACGTCCTTCTCGATTGGCCGCCTTTGGAGTGATGCGCCCCAAAGGCCATGGCCCGCCGGAGTTGATTTAAGCAGCCAACGCTTGATCCCCTCCCGGTCCCCTCTCGGTGGGAAGCCAAAAGCAGGTTGAAAGGAGGATGTTCAACGGTCCACACATTTTTCAACGGGGGGGCCGGCCTCGTTCCCCGAGTCTCCGCCTTTCCCAGCCGCCCCGAGCAGCGGTCGCGCGAGTTGTCTCGAGGCATCTCTGCACGGAGCTGAGCGCCCTGCGGGGCGTCAGCTGTGAGGTGGACGCCCGCCTGGCGCAGCAGCTCAAGAGGCCTCCGTCAGCGGACGTGGGAGCCGTGTCAGCCTCTTGAGGGTTGAAAGGATTCGGAGCCCAGGAAGTACCCGGAAGCAAAGACCTAGGAAGCACTGCACTTGGGCAATCTGAGTCATATGAATGAGACAAACCTCCAGATGCTTTTGGAAGGTTCATCGTTTTGACATAAGTTAGCAACATTGTCTGTGACTATACACACATGAGCAGCACACAGCTTGGTCAAGGTCCAACATTTGCAGCAGGGTTGTTTCAGCGTGCAGCTTTCTATTTGCAGCATTGCGTGTTTTCGGCCAATGTCCGCTCAGAAAGCTGGTACCCACACGCTGGTATGTCTTCACCTCGATTCCTGAGCCCGGCCAGGCTGGCCCCCTACGAGGCCGGAACTTGGGAGGGGTATCTCCGGCCAGTGCGATTCGTAGGCATGACAAGATATGACCAGAGAGCCCTGTGCACGGTTCATTTGAGGCATGCACCAGGCCTGAAAGTGGAAGCAAGGAAAGGCAGCACATAGCGACATGAAAGCCGTCATTGTCACATGTCAGGGGAGGGTCCAGGAGGGTCGACGCGGAATTCGAAGGCCTGCAATATGTGTGATCTTTCCTCTCAGCAAGTTATTTGTATGCGTCTCATGGGCGCTTTGGCGTGATTTAGATGCTGGAGATTTCCAGCCACAGCCTGGTGCGAATGCGCGCAGCGTGAAGGACTGGACCAGCAGGTTTAGTGGATGGAACATGATTCAGAATCTAGCTGCAGCAAGGTAACATGCATCAAGCTAAGGGCCATTCTGTGGCTTTGATGACTATCGTTTGACCCATCACTAACTTGTTTGCGTTCAACCATGGGATCTGACGCCCGTAGTGAAAGCGCACTGGTGTCTTGCTTCGCAGGAGCTACCCAACACGGGCTGTTTTGATTCTTGAGGTTCCTGTTGGACCGGTGGTTTCACCATTGGCGCTTGTTTTTTTCGCAGAAAGACGAGATGGGGGAGTTTCCGGGAGATAGCATCCCAGGTGAGCCGAACGGAGATGGAGTCGACTTTGCAGCTCTTGCAAGAGCAGACTACAAAGTGCAGGACCGGGTATGTCTCTGTCGGTCAGCATTGGAAGCCAAAAAAGAGCTTCACCCCGACTACAGTGAGGTTGGCTGAGAGTGGGAGGACAATTCAATAGAACCATTAATAATGTGAATGGTTGATGATATGAGTGTATATGACCCATGACCCATGACACATATAGACACGCATGCATACATATACATATACAACGTGCGTTTCTTTTCTTTCCGGGGTGGGTGCAGTGATTTGGGCGCATTGGCACGGTACCACCGGTAACTTGTCAAATGTGCAGGCCCAGCCGGGAAGCACCCAGCCACGCCAAAAACAATTAACAAAACACTGGACTTTTCTCAAGCGGCAGCTTCCTGCGCAGGATTCCTCTTTTCTGTGTCATCACTCATTGTGAATTGCGACGCAGAACATTCACAGTCTGGCTCAGGATGTTTGTAGTTTGATAGCCAACGGTTCGAAATGGCATGAAGAGCCATACATTCACAACTCCAGATGATCAGTGCCAGCCGCCATGCTTGCACTCTACCCCTACGATAGCGGACAGAGGGTGCTTGACAAGACGACGCCTGCCCCTCCATCAAGTTGATTGGTCTGATAGCCAGGCAGACCACCAGCAAGTCAGCACAGCCTCCGGCCGCCAGGATGGTCAAGGAACACATGTCGTCCTTGGTTGATGCCGCCATGCAGGCGGCCGGGATGTTCTGTGGCGCCCGGAACGTGTCCAAAGATCTGGTGGCTTCTCAAAACGGCGGATCCCTTTTTAGGTGGTTTTGAAGGGACACCAAAGCTAAAGGGACCAACTCATTTTTGGGTTTGTCTACTTGAGAAGCAGGCGTCTCGCGGTCGCAATTGGTAGAGTGGTACCGACAAACACACGTTTCTCTGGAGGCTCACTACTTAACAAGATTATCGTGAGAAGGGAGCCCATGGTTGCCATGGCCAGGCAACCCATGAAGCTTAGGCAGGAAAAGGGTGTTTATTGGCCAAAGGATTGAGCAGGCTGGCCAGTGTTTGCCTTTGTTCCCATGAAACGTCACAGCCGTTGCATGCGAAGTTGCAGTATTAGTTTGCCAGGACTAGTTGCCTAGTAGTTGTTCAGCGGAAGCTGCATCCAAACTTTGCTCATCCCAGAAGCTGAGTAGAGCTGTTCCAGTAGAGCCAAGCGCCCCGAACGGCGAATAACGGCGGGCCACGGCCGGTTGCATTTCAGCGGCTCGTAAAAACCTAGGTTTCAGTTTAGGTGAGGGTCGCGCTTCTGTGCGTCTTCGGCAGAGGTCGTCAACATCTGGGATGAATTTTAGGTGGACGCAGGCTGTAAAGACTCCGGGGAGGGGCCAGACGTGGTCGAGGTGTTTATGAGCGCAAAGGTGCGCCCACGCCTCCGAGAAGACAATGAAACATGTTTGCCTTGGCCACATCTTGGCCGGACAGATGACAACCAGACTGCTGAGTCCGTTCGTGGCAGTCCAGAATTCCTTGCCAGGCTCTGGAATGCGATGAATATCTTCAGGATCCCAAGCCTGCAACCGCGCCGCCCTATGCTTCTTGCCAGCACTTTTGTGCAGCCTGTAGTTCTTCAAGCAGAACCACGGCTGAGTTGTTGTTTTGGCAAACTGACAGAGAGCAGCCTTTGGTTTTTAGGGATGGTGGGCTTAATCATGAGGGCACTTCATCAAGCGTGGGCTCAGCGCTTTGTTTGTGCCAAGGCAGGACGTCGCAATGGAAGCAGTTCTTCAGTGTGGCCTTGTGCTTCCCATGTTACGAGATCTGCGATAGGACAAGGGTTCGGCTGGTTTGCCCTGGCAGACTGCAGATTAGCTGTCATAGCTAAAACAAGATAAAACCGAGGCCAACCGACAGATAAATCCGAAGCCAAAACCAACGGGAAGCCAAGGCCCTTCAGCTGCAAAGGCAGCTCGCAGCCAAGCTGCAGGAGAGGGTCAGTGGGACGCGGCTAACGCACGGTAAACGATGTCTAGCCAAGGTTGCGACTTATACCCAGGTCAACCCTCAATAGGAAGAGCCAATCGTTCATTCGGAGGGGGCGTTCGTGGTCGATGCTGGCCGAAGGTGGGGTCACAGCAGGTTGCCATCACTGAACTGCCAGGGTTAGACGCAACGAAGGATATGTGCTCGATCTGGTTACAGCAAGCTTGGTGATTAGAGCAACATCGTTATTTCGTTGCATTGGGCTGGTTTAGGGTTTGTGTCACAAAGCCAGTCCAAATGATGCTGGTGATTGTGGGGATATCAGCCAACCCACCAACCAACCAACCAACCCATCAACCCACCCAGCCAGCCAGCCAGCTAGCTAGCCAGCTAGCCAGCCAGCCGGCAGCCCTGCAAAAACAAAGCACCTCCCATACATGTTGCATGCCAACCGAAGAGCTCAAACCGAAGCAGCTGAACTCTGCCATTTCTCACAACGATTGCAAACTCTGCAATCCGTCCTCCTGAAAGTACCCTGATGAACATGTAAATTCACAGAGCCCTGCAGGCTACGGCAGGACATCAGGCCCTCGGATTCGTGGCTGGAGGAAATTGCTCCCTTCCCCTTGAATCCCACTACCGGAATGATGAGTTTTGCTTGGGAACTACTCAATGGAGGTCCCGGGGGCTCCCAGTTTCGACTTCGGTCGACCAACACAATTGCAATGTTCCGAGTCAAGCGTTTTTGGAATGCACCCATTGAGGCCATGTTTCCATTTTTGCAATTCACCACAAGGCGCAATGTGAGATTGCGCACTGCAGCTACCATTTGCAAGTTAACTTGGATTTTGACTTGAGCCTGCAATCAACTTTGACATTCCTTTGGCACCCCAACAAATCGCGGTCCAGGGCAGGATGTTTGAGAAGAAACACATTCATCAACGAAAACAGACGATGCTGAGCAGCTCCAGCATCGCAGCGTGTTTCCTTTCCTGATCGTCATGGCAATTCAGAAAGCCGTGCTTACTATCTAGGAATTGATCATGCCCGTGTTTGCAACAATGGCTGAGATGTTCCTGCCTTCACTGAAACACCCCGCCATTTCTGCTTGGGGGACGCAGTGTGTGTTGGGTTCGGACAGCTACCCGCCGTTGGTTGGTCCCGGCCCCAAAGGGCCCTTTCTGGGGAGATCCCGTTCCCTGACCCGTCTCATGCGTCCCGACACGACCATTCGCGGGAGAGCGGCGTGAGTCGTGAGGAGAGCCGCGTCCTGTGCCGGGACTGCGCCCAGCTTGGCCTGGACTGCCTGCGGCGCACGGAGCTTCGCGCCTGGGTTGCAGCCCCGCGCCTTTCTCCGGAGGCTTGACACGCATCACATGTTGTTGGGCAGCCTGCATCCTTGAAAGATGTCTAGGTATGTCTAAATATGTCTTAGATGAGTTGTTCTACGCGCTTCTACGCTTCTATTCACTGGTTCTACCCTGTCTCGGTTGGCTAAGTCATCCAACCGTCTGAGGTGAAGACCTCGCCATGGGGCTAGCGCCTGAGGGGGGGGGGTATGGTGGGGCGGTGGGGGGTAGCGTGGGTGTAGGCTTTGGTTGTATTAGGAATCACGTCTGGAGCGCTGACCGCATGGGCCAAGTCAACCAGTGTCCAATCTTTCAGTTTGTTTGGGGGTAGGTTTCATCATTTATTTGGTGAAGGCCCAGAAAGTTCGAGCTTTTTCGGGCACAGCTCAACAGGAAAGATGCTAGATCGTTTTTGAAAAAATCGGCTCCCATGGACACCCGCAGTTCCCCTACTACCTAGGGCTTCAAGAACCTGTAAAAATGTCGTACCCTGACTAAAACATCGTGTTTTTCTCGATTTTCCTAAAACATTGTGTTTTCAGGAAAAACATTGTGTTTTTGATAAAACCCCCTTAAAAATGGGCTTCTGAGGCCAAACACTCATTTGGAGCAAAGGGTCAAAGGCAAGGGTCGGGAGTGGATTCACACAGGCATCACCCATTAAGATTTCAACTGAGGGCAACGCTCTATACTGAGTATGCTTCAAATTCTAAGGACCACATTGATGAGCCTGACAGCCAGGGTGTGCAGCTGGCTTCAGTCTTGAAGTACCTTTCACAGCAACAGGCACCGAAAGACTGGCGCCAGGTCATACCGAACCAGTTTGAAGGGGGTGCTGGAATCCGAAAGCTCCTTTTGGTGCAAAACAAGACCAGGTGACACCTTTTAAGATTGTTTTTATAAATTTTGAGTTTTTTTTAGAACATGGGGCGGCATCCTGGCGGCTAACCGCAGAAACCCGTAGAAAACCCGTAGAAACCCGTAGGAAGCCCGCAGCCCCAACCGAAAACATCGTGTTTTTGGAAAACATCGTGTTTTCTAACCCGTAGCTAAACCGTGGAGAACCCGTAGTAACGCGTGGCAAACCGTGGAAATTCTATGGGTTTTTCGGGTTCAACCACGAATGCGCTAATTCGAGAATGTTGCTGGAAAACAACGAAGTCGTGAGCAAAAGCACGGTCTTTGCTTGAGCTTGCGCGCTGTTCGAAGCCAGCACGCCCTCATCATGGCATTGCTGCTTGACAAGTGTCATAAAACCGTGGTACTTTTGACTATTTGGGTCCCCGGCCTCCTTCTTTCAGATTGGAGTTGCGAAAGACGAGTGGCGAATGCGAAGCTGATTTCGGTACGAGCGCAGAAGGGGAGGGCGATGGGAGATTCTGAGGTTGAGATGATGCTTTTGAGATCTTTTGAGAACGGATGACGAGTTGAAGGAATGTATGGGAAAATGCTTGAAATCGAAAATGTGGTGTTTCCCGAAAACATCGTGTTTTCCCAAAAACATCGTGTTTTTTGTAGGTATGACATTTTCATCGGTTTTTGAGGCTTCTGGTAGAATAAACCACAGAAAAAAGGGTACCTTATTCTAAACTCTTTACTGGAGGACCTAGACAATGTGTGGGGCCAATGCATCGAGTTTGGAGCAGTCTGAGGCAGTATTTCCCTGCAACTGCAGCGGCCGCAGCCACCAGTGCCGCAGTCGCCATGGTGGAATCTCGGCTGGGCTGCGGGCAAATGACATGCGGGCAAATGACATGCGGGCAAATGACATGCGGGCAAATGGCATTTGATAAGTGGGTATGAAGTTTAATAACGGACCCTTTGGTGGACATCATTTAGGTGGGGATTCATGTCCACCAATCACTTATCGCAAAAACTGATAGGCGAAGTGCTGTCGTAGAGGGCAAGGTCGGGACGGGCGTGGACGAACGATCTAATGCCGCAAAACGCTGGTGCGACTGCTTGCGACTTTTTGTTGTGCTTTGGTTCATAAGTGGAGATCCTTTCAATATGGTCATCCCCGACGATTAGGGCAACAGCTGACATTGACATCATTGCTGCTTCCTATTGTATGAGCGCCAACAGCAACTATGTGGGCCAGGAAGGTTGTACACAACAGCGTCCGGACAGCCCAACGTCAGTTTTTTGCGTCCTGAGCGCAGTTTGGGCATTGGAACTCGCACTCGCAGTCCAGTGCGCCTTTTAAAGGTTTTGCATGGGTTACCCGTGCTCGGAACTCGGGTCGAGGAGAAGCTGCGCCTGGAGGAGCCCGAGCCCCTTGTTGGGGGGGAGTTGGCTCACGCAAGCATTCGATGCGATTTCGGGGCGCCCAAGAGGTGTCTCTTGTTTTTGTTTTTGATATTCGAGACGCATCTCAGTGTGATTTTCTGTTGTGCCAACAAATCCATGGCGCCAACTTTTTGGGAAAATGGGCTCGAAAGGTGAATGGGCCCGCAGGTTCTGTCGGGTTTTGAAGTGCTGGGTGTCGCACGCAAACGGCAAAGCTTCGCGACTGCTTAATCTGTGGCGTTGGAGTTGATGACTGTGGAATTGGGCGTTTGGACTGCATGTGGGCATGGCAGTGGCGTATTTGCTGGTTGTCTTGCCTTTTTGTCAGCTCTTACCGGCATGATTCGTGCTGGCAATCATTTGAATGCATCTGATCAGGGCGTGAATCCAAGTCGAAGTTTTGCCCAGATTGAAAGGACGCTGCCCGCCACGGCTGCCAACAAACAGGGTAAGTAGGAGGCAACGACTATTGCCGTCGTTGTGCGTTTTGCGGTGGAAGCTATCTATCGCTGCTTCGATCAGCTGTCATTTTCTCCGGGCGCATTTGAAGGCGTTCATTTTGTAGGAGGGCAGAATATCATGAAGCATGACGATTGATTCCTCTTCAAATGACCCCCCCCCCCCCCGCAGGAAAAGTCTAAGCATTGTTTGGTGGACCAAGCGATTTGTGCTTACCATGCTGTCCCGTTGCTTGCAGATTCCAAGGCTTCCCAGCCGCCAAGACCCTTCTTGGCTGCCTCAGCAGGTGGGAGGACCTTGGGATGCGGGCTGTCGGCTGCATGTTGCACCACCTTGTGATGTACTGCACGGACAGCAAGCGACCATTCTAGGGGTTGATCCCACATTCGCAACCATCGATCTTTTCCAAAAACCGGATCCGTCTTCCCCGGGTTTCCGGTTTTCTAGAAAGAAGGATCCCCTGGAAAGAATGGGGATTGTACCCTCAGAACCATGGGACAGTACTGACAAACCTTTCTGCTTCGGTTTGCCTGGATTCCGAATCGCTCTTGCCCTCTACGCAGGACTTGAGTGACTTATGCCTCCTGAGCTTTGCTGAACTTTCCCAAGTTGCAGAGCCACTGCTTGAAGACTTGTCTCCTTTGCTTGTTCGTTGATGGCTGATGTGACCTTAGTAGTCCTGTCCGCAGATAGCTTTGTACCAGGTTCTTTGCATGATCACAGGCAGAAAGTGGGCGATTGAGCAATGCAATGTTCTAGCCAATGTCCGATGATTCTGCAGAGGTGGTTTTTACGTCTACCCCGGTACCACTTTCAGGATGTCACACGGATAGCCACGGATGTGAGCAGGTGTCCAGATCCTAATGGAAGTCGGAAGGGCCTTCGTTTGACAGCACCCTCAGCTTGTACGAAGAAATGCAATATAACAGGGCAACTGATCGTCGCGCTTTCTGCAAAGAGTTCAATTGCGCGGCTGATCCGCCGTGAATCGGTCCTCGTTTCTTGGAGCCAGGTGGGTGCGAAGCCAGGCTTTGGGCAAGGCAGTGAGCGGGTGTGTTTCTCAGCCTCTCGGGGCCTGGGGTCGGCTGGCCGTGTCTCTCAAAGGGAAGCCAAGCCGAGCCCATGAGTTGGGAAGTGACTCAAACTGACCGCTTGGGAGATGCATTGCTTCCCGGGTCAGCGCTATGAGCTGTGCTTCGGGATGCTGGATCAGGAAGTACAAAGGCAAGTGGCCCGTGAAAGTTACAATCGGGGAGGTGATTATGTTGTTTGGGCCTTTGACTTTGGAAAAGGTATGATTTCAGATCGCCAGGCACCATGCTTGGCCATATCCCGAAGCTTGTTCTTTAGTTTATAGTTTTCCAAGTGATTCGATTTGTGGAGTGGTATTGACAGTGTTCAAATACGTTGTATTCTGGGGTGCTCAACTTTCAGATTTTCCGTATGTGACTGTCATGTTCTTCCTGCAGCTGGCCAGGTTACTGGCCAGATTGTACCATCCAAGAGGAGGCGCAAGACCGGGCTCGCGGATGACCCATCGAGGTGTTTCGAGCTCAAAGATAAACCTGCCCTGAATAGTGGGTGCTTTGGACCATATTAGTTTAATATAGCAACAAGGTGCCCCAAAGGGTTCACATTTGGATCCTTTCAAGCCTCAATCGGAGTCAGAACCGCTGAGAAGAATCGGCACTAGAGTGTACTGTTTTGCAGACGGGTACGGCAGTTTCTCCGATTCGATCTCTTTGTTTGGTTCGGATTGGCTTGGGGACTTTGACTCTGTCCTGAACCGGTTCCCTGTATTTGGGGCTTGATCAAAAGGTCCTTTACATGGCATGACCATGGGTAAAACCACTAAAAAATGATATTTCCCACTACATGGGAAAAGTTACTCATAGTCATTTCGTAGGCCAGGAATATTGATCAGCCCCCATATCTCCCCCTCTGGTTCGAAGATCGCCTGTGCCTATATAAAGTGAGCTTCCTGGGGTGAGGTTAGAGGAAAGCTTGGAGACCTTGGAATCGATCGCTCAGGAGGAGGATCGCCTGAGCCACCGGAGCCCGGCGGTGCTGTGCAGCTGAGGTGGACTGGATCCCGTTGGCGGACGTGCCGGCGGCTCAAGGCTTCGCCTGATTTGCAGAGGATGCCTTCATGCTCAGCATGTTATCTTCTGGGTTTCAATGACAAGCAGGCAACCTTGACAACCTCTGAAGTTAGCTTAACAGGGTTGCATTTTTCCTACCCTCAAACCACACTGCCGAGTGAGATGTCTTGTGTTGTGTTTGCTAGCTTAGATTATGCCAGTGTTTACCAGAATTGCACCAGTTTGCACGCGGTTCCTCGTTGGGCTTTCACGGTGCAATGGACAGGTTGCTGGAATGGGGCTTTTTGGTTTGATCTAGTCACTGTAGTTGATGAACTCATTTTCAAGTTAGATGGCTTAGTTGGCCAACCAATGCTTGGACTTGATGGACACCCATGCACCTACTCACCTAATATACATGCATGCATGCTTGCATGCGGCTGATTTATGCGCCGGTCTTGTTTACTTGTTTATGCTAGCGGATATTTTGACTGGCCCACGAAACGTTGGGTTTTTGATACGCAGACTCCTCCACGCTTGGCACATGGCAACCACACCGGCCCACGCACTCCGTTGCACGCCTGCGCACATGCTTGGCGCGTGATAAGCATGCCCACCCACGCAGGATGTTGCCCTTGGTTATCCTGCAAGAGGCAGGGAAAGATGTGTATTTTGCTTTTCTCCGGAAAATAGGGTGCTATATTCCCGTCTGTTCTCTGGAAGCTTGCTAGGAGGGGATTCATCATGCAGCAGTCTATCAACAGTTCGTCTCGCGCGACAACTCTGAATCCATGTCCCCCAAAGCCCATGCCCATGGCCTTCTGGCAGTGTTTGTGAGTCAGGTCTGGCTGGCTGACTCATTGAGCCTAGCTCCGGACTGTGAGGGCACCCCGAAAGGGCGACCTTGAAGCTGGGAAAAAGGCGCTTGAGTTTAGGCAGGGGGCAGCGTTGCTTGGACTCTGTTTGGGTGGCGTAAGGAGCAGCAGCACATTTGCTGCACCTGATCAGATATAGTATTCGGATTAGCTCGGCAACAAATTCTTCACAGAGCCTAGAAAGTCGACCAAGCCGGCATAGCTTTGCAATTGACCCGTCCTCAAAAGCCAGTCGTCACGACCTGAGTCGCTCCCCTCAAGTTGGCAAGGTAAAGCAAATGGGAACTTTAGATTTGTTTGAGTTGAAGTGTTGGCGACTATGCTCTATGATTGGGGTGCTTCACGCCTGGTTGGTCTGGTTGATGCGGGGCAGACAAGATACATGGTAATGACAGGACCTTGTTGGGCAACAATAAGCTTCGTATTGGCGCCCGGGCAGATGGTTTGGCGATTGGTTGGTGATAAACTGTATGATGGCTGGGAAGCTGGGTTGGTGGATCAATGCTTTGCCTTTGGGTGGTTGCCTCACTGGGCACACTTCAGAAAATGGCGTGTCTGCAATGCAGCGTGCCTGCCAAGGTGTAACGCACCGCGCCAAGAGCTTCAGTTAGGAAGCCCAGACATTGCACTTTATCATGATGGCGATCAAGCCACTGGCTGAAGCCTGGCAGATGCTCAGCCATGAAACTTGAGTTGACACCAAAGAACCAGATCATGAGTCCAACTTTGCAGTTTTTGCAAGCGTTGAAGTCCGACAACTTTGCACTGCTCAGCAAACACAACGCCAAGCATGCGAGAAAAGAAGGCAACAGAGTGCCAATGATCCCACATCCCGCATCCCACAGCATTTGCTTCAATTCAATGGACAGCACAGGCTTCCAACTGGCAGGTCCAGGGAAGCCACCAGAAGGGGGCGGTGCCGTCGGGGAGCGTCTCGCTAGCCTCATTCTGGCCGCATGTCGGGCCCATGCCCTGGCCCGGCGAGGCGCGAGGTTTGCCAGGATCGTTTTTACTGGAAGGATCGTTTTGTGGGAAAAGCGGGTGATTTTGATTTGGGTCGTGGGCTCTTGGCGGAGGATCATGGTACTTGTGCGGGATCTTTGGCCAAAAAGACAACCTCGGCAGCGCGGATTCACCCCACCCGTTCTCTCCGCCTGCATTCTTGAGAATACAATCAGCCAGACTGAACCGCATGGTCTGTTGCTCATCTAGGGATCTGAGGGCCTTCGGGCCACCTGCGAGATGGTGCTGGTGGTTGCCAGGTGCAGTGCCACTTGATGGAGATTTGCAGAGAACGGCCCGCTGATGAGGCGCGGGCCTTGCCGTCGCAGGTTTCTTGAAGGAGCTGGTTGCCCCAGCAAGATGTACTGCTCTGTCGCATGACAAGTGAAGCAATCACGGACGCCATGACGTACTTGATGAGCAGCGACAAAACACCACATGGCATGTATGTATGATGTTCTCACTACAGTGCAGTGTTGCGCCTGACCATTGGACGATTTCCCAAGAAAGCCATCAATGGCCCAAGAACTTAAGGAGGCCACGGCCAGGAACAAAGGCTGAACAACTAGTATTGTGTGTGTGTGTGCGCGCGTGAGAGAGAGAGAGAGAGCGAGAGAGACAAAGACAAAGGGAAGAAATGTGAGATTGCGCATGCGTGCTTGCGTGCCTGGGGACCCAGTTTGTTTCTAATTATCAGTGACCAGCCGCAAGCAACGCTTTTTTTCTTTCTGGCTGGAGCTTGCCTCTCGGGGCTGGCGGGGGGGGGGGGGGGGAGGAGCCCAAATAAGCCCTTAAGCTCTCAATAAGGCCGGATATGGGATATAATTTAGGCTCCCTCCCCCTCCCCTCCCTCCCCCCCAGGCCCCATGAGAGGAGATGCGTCAAAGTTTTTGCCCAACCCGAGGAACTGCAGCTCCCGAGGCCGCCGCCGGCGCTCTCTTCGCGACTTGGTTTGAAGGGAGGCCGATGGCAGGTGTTGGACACCAGACTGGCCAGGTGACTGCGAGCAAGTGCAAAATGTCTCACTCAAGGCTCGGGCAACTCGTTTTGTGTGGCTTTATGAGGCCCATCGAGGCCCCGACTTCCGTAGGATCTGGATGGGAGTGAATTGGGGTGCTCAAGATCAGTGACTCGGGGGACCGGTTGCTCTACAGATTGAGCCGTTTGAGCCAACACTGCAGAGCCAAAGCCTCAGGAATTGGCTGCTGCGCCTCGGCAACGCAGGAGGCGGGCGAGAAGTTCGATCAAAGTTCTTGCGCCCGGCGGAGAAAGTTGCGAACGACCAGATGGCTTGACGCGCAGGTGCTTAGAGTTTGCTGCGTGGTCCTGTGAAATGTGGTGTTTACTGTCTGGGCAGCTTTGGGGTAGCAGATTTTGCGGCCTGGGGCTTCGACGCAGGTTCCAGGCAGGTTCCGCCCCCATGCCTCGGGCAAGCGAGATCCATTGCAGCAAAGACCAGATCCTGTCGCCAAAACGAACAAGTTGCCAAGGCACAAATCCGGTCACTGACAGGGTCTCCTCAGGAACAACTTCCTCAAGCTGTTCATCTTTGGGCACAGACAACTTAAGCGAGCACTGGCCTGTGGACTTCCAATCCTTGCCGAAGCGGAGTGCGGACCGACTGAGCCTCGCAGCCCGTGGGCTGGTTCATGTTGGCATAGCTTTGTTGTCAAAACAATTGTCCCGGCAGTTGCTATTCCATTACACGAGGCACCCGAACCACCTGGAAACGAGTACTCCCAGCCTCCCAGCTGCAGCTGCTGCCTCCCGATGTTGCGAGCATGTCTGAAATCGGCCAAGCTTTTTCAGTGGCTGAAGCCAAGGTGAGAGTCTAACCAAAGAACTGAACCAAACTCTGAAGCCAAAAATCCACACAGCCCGTGTTCAGCCCCCTTTTCCCTCCGGAGGCGCCGGCCGCCATGCCGAAAGCTTCCTGAGCCGAGATCAGGCAGGAGAGCGTTGCTTTCATGGGCCAGGTCTTGTTGAATCCACTTAGACACAAGGGAGTCACAGGTGTCCTTTCAGATCAGTTTTCTCTCTGGCGTTATCTGCGATTCACGCAGATCATCATTGGCCCAGGAAGAAGCCAGCCCTTGGCTGCTTTGGACTAGCAACGATCTGGAAACGAGTCTTTCAGGCTGCAGTCTTGGCTGAGCCCCATGGCCAATACACCCTTCGGGTTGTGTGCCATGGCTATGGGAGCCGACGAGAAGAAACTTTTGGTGAGCAGCTTGCTGGCCTACGGGGCCTTTGGCCTGCTGCAAGTGGGCTATAGGCTTGCCCGCAGCTGGGCAGAAGCACTGCGAGCACGCAGGATGTTGAAAGACACGCCCTGCGCCCATGGCCAGGAGGGCTTCATGTCCCTCGCCTACAACATGGCCAAGAATCTGCCTCGGGTGCATGACTGGCGCGTGGAGATCTGCGCAGGACTCCCGGTGTGCAAGAACTGGGGCTTTCCTTGGAGCTGCGTGCTGAGCAACCTCTTCATCAACACTCCCGAGGGCGTCCGCCACTTCCTGAAGGATGAGTTTCAGAAATACAGCAAGGGGAATGCTTCGGTGGACCCTTTCATCACTTATTTCAACGAGTTCATGGGTGGCGGCATCTTCACGGTACCTCATGGACTAGCAACCTGTGATAATGGTCAGCGCTGGCTGCAGATGCGCAAGACATCTGCGCAGGTCTTCAACCGCAAGAACTTCAACACCTTGATGCAGGAAGTCTTTGTTACCAAGGCTGAGGCCTTGCGTACCTGGCTAGATGAATTTGTAGATGGTGAACCTGTGGATCTGCAACTTGGGTTTTTCAACTTCACTATGGACAGCATCATGAAGATCTTTTTCGGAGAGGACGTGAACTCGCAAGCAGGTGATCACAACAAATACGGCCAGGCCTTTGATGAGGCGCATGAAGCGATGTTTTTGCACACCGTGAACTCTCTTCCATTCAACACCCTCTTCATGACGCTGCTCCCATGGCCCTTCGGCGGCGCACATGGGCTGGCTAGAAAGTTGTACGACCTTGCTTCGCCATCGTATCGGAAGTTCAGGAGGGCGCTGAGGGTCTTAGATTCAGAGGCTCACCGGATGGTGCAAAACTGCCGCGCCGATGTGAACTTGTTCGAAAGGCGCGACTTGCTGGCGCTGTTCTTGCAAGCAGAGAAGGAGAACAACTACTCTGAAGCCTTCCTGAAGGAGATGGTGTTGAATCTAGTCATTGCAGGGCGCGACACCACGGCCTGTGCTTTGTCATGGATGTTTCTGGAGCTCGCCCGGAACCCAAAGATACAGAGCCGCTTGTGCCGTGAAATCGATGAGAAGTTGCCTCCCGGCGCCAGTCTGGATACGCAGACACTGGCGCACAGCCAGCTGCCCTACTTGCAGGGAGTTTTGTATGAGGCCCTGAGACTGTGGCCCCCGGTCCCTTTCGATTCCAAGATCGCCTATGCCGATGACGTGTTGCCGGATGGGACCAACGTGCCCAAAGGCATCACCGCGGTTTTTTCGCCCTACATCCTGGGCCGAGATGAGGCGAGGTATCCGGATCCCTTGGCCTTCAAGCCCGAGCGCTGGATCCCCTTCTCGGCGCCCTCCCCCTACGAGTTCCCGGTGTTCCAAGCCGGGCCCAGGATTTGCCTGGGCATGGACATGGCCGTCTTCGAGGCCAAGGTGGTCACGGTGCAACTTTTGCGGCACCTGCGCTTTGAGCTGGCGCCGGGGCAGAAGATCGGATATGGAGTGAAGCTCACCATGAATGTTCGCAACGGCGACAGGGATGAGCTTATGGTCTGTGTGAAGCGACGGCCGTGCGTCAGCTCTCCCACAGCCAGCTATGCTGGTGCTTAATTTGCCATTGTCCCCGGCATTCTTTGATTCACAGTTCTACAAATGAATATGTGAAAGGCGGGCGACGGCTCGAAACTATATTGCGAAAACCAAAAGCTGCGGAAACCTCAGGGCCTCATGAATCATTGGCAGTAGAAGAGATTGGTCGGCTCGCTTATCTTCATGAAGGAATCCTTCACTGCATCTTCGGATAATGTTCGATTCGACTTGTTGTAGACCTTACATTTCCCTTTGGTGTAACAACTTTTCCGGCAGCCAGCGTGAGTCGCTGTGCGTTCACCGCCAGACCCGCCATGCCATCCTCTCGTGGCGCCTTGAACGGTCCAAGCCCAAGAGCAAAGTGGATGGCTGCGGCAAGCAGATTTCCCAGGCCACGAGGTATTTGAGGGAATACAAGTGTTTGTCCAATGCACTTGAGGCCCTACCTGATCTACAGCTTGGCATGCGCGGCTTTGATGCTCCTGCTTTTAGCCAGGGGCCTAGTTAGGAGGGACATGGTTCTTGTTAGACGCATGTTGCATCGATGTGGTGCGGATCCATGATATGAATGAACAGGTCCATGTCGGCAATTTGTTCCAACATGTCTTCGACATGTGATAGTGATCCAACACATCCAAGTGATCAGGGAAGGAGCACCGGGATCCTACGGCCAACAGGTTGGTTTGTGAATGATGGTAGAGACTATTTGGAATATGACTGAGCTGTTTGGAGGGAACATCGAATTGGATACACGTGGTTGCTTTTTAGATCGATCACGATCCTAGTGACGCGGCGCTTCATTGATCGAATTCTTCCTGGTGATGCGCTCAATCGTCCTGGTGACTGCCGCACCTGAGGTCTGGAATGTTGTCAAGGGCGCCAGGCACTCGATCGATGCTAGGGCAGAGCTGGTGAGTTGTGTCATTGCCCTTTCTCCGTTTCCGCATCGTGGCCCTTGGGCGAAACGCTAGCTACATGGCTGTGGGTCAAAAACAATGGTACCATTTTGGGGTAGGTGCATTATTCATTTTCGTCTATTTTAGTTGGGATTGGGATGTTCACTGGGGGTACGGGATTTTGACCCATGGCCACATGTCAGACACTGCGCAGGCCGCGATTTCCCGCTTGCCCGCGTTTTCCGATCAAGCATACGCCACATTGCCGGCGGCCGGTCGACATCTGTATTTTTCTGACTCGAAAGAAATTCGTTGCTCCAAGGTCCAGAACAACTGGAACCTTCCACAGTGGAAGCATCACCGCCAGGAGCCCACTTCGAGTATTGGCATCCTGGATTAGCAGAGTCCACTGGCATATGTCAAGCTCACTTCAAGCATACCTGGAGTGATTCACCTGTGATGAAGGGGCCTTTGTTGGCAGTCACCATGTCCACACTGACTCGACAAGTTGTTCAGCTAGAATTGATGCAGCTCACTTCCGCTTCACAGGTTTGCAGAAAGTTGCGACCATGACTATAGCCGTTCGAAGCTATGTTCAAGTCAGCAGAGTTGTGTTTGGACATTGAAACCATGACTGCAAACCTGCTGAAGTGAGCAGCCCTACAGCCTGAACCGACATGCTCGATCCCTGTTTGAGCATTGTTGCTGGTGGGGTCTTCACAGCGCGATTGGTGGGCGCAGCCAGGGACGGCAGCCGCTTGTCGCAGATAACCGCACTTTCCAGGAAGCAAAGCTCCAACAAGGTTGGATCCAAATCTGGAGCCAACAAGCGCAATTCATTGATAACCCTTGCGGTATGGGTGCCTTTGTTACGTTCATGCATATCACACAAGGTGGCGCACTATCGATTGGCATGTTGCTGCTGAGGCTTTGCTCAGCCCCTTGATCCAGATGGCTGTTGTGGATTTGTGTATGTACTAAAACATAAGAATGTCATTTTGGCGGAGGATGTAGGCACAGTACCGGGAACTGAACCGATACACAAATCCTAGGAATCGCCAGCCTTCCAACAGTGATCCCAGTTGCCCAGTGGTACCCTTTGTTTGGGAAGGGTTCCCTTTGAAGTCAACCAACCACAAAAGGATGCCTTTTTTTGCGCATGGCCATCGGGCATCTGAGTGATTGATCAAACCCGTGCCCAGCAAGAGGTTGGGAAGAGTACCTGGAGGTTGGCATCGGCATTGTGCTGGGGCCTTGTCTGAGTGTGGATGAGGGCACTAGCAATCTAAGTGAATCACTGCTGGATTTTCGAAGCTCGAGTTTTTGCACAGCAATTCGTCTTTTGAAGCAGCTTGTTCATAAGTTATCGTGGAGTTTCTGGATATCATGGGTTGGTTGCTTCAAAGTATCGATTGAATCATGTCAAGGCCAGTCAAGACGGGTTGGAACCATGCTTATGAAAGAAAAAGGCTTGCTGGGTTGCTCATTCAAGAGACTCATTCCCTTTGCAGCATCAGGATCGTGCTGGAGGTGGTGCTTACCTTGCGCTTGCTTGGCGTGGTGGGCTTAGACAAACAACCGGGCCAGTGGCTCGACAAGATTCCGCTGCGCTTGCTTTTGTTATATAATTCCACGTGCGTTTGAATAACGTGAGCAGGCAAGCGTGTCGAGCGCTTGCGGCATAGTGTGCATGTACCTACTGTTGATGCCTGATACGTCAGAACTGCCTTGATTCGCAGTCAGCATATTTTTGGTTATGAGTTGGTGACTGCCTGATTCATAGACTCCCTTACTGGTGCTACTATTGAGGGGGTGGAAGCTGGTGAACGGTGGGGACACCTGTGTTTGGCTCAGCATTGGCTGGAGCCTGTCCCCGTCTTGGGTAAAGCAAGGCCAAACCAGGCAAAAAGAGCCCTGAGCTCTCTGAAACCAGTCCAAGCCATGCTCAGATTGGGTCCAATCTAACCATGAGACAAGTCTGCGTCAACCAGGCAGTGGCTCAAAAGTTTTCAAGCAACCCCCAAACCAACCCAAGAACCAACCCCAAACCCACTTTGAACTAGCACAAACTAAAAGCGCCAACCCTGAACCAACCCTGACACTACCCCAAGCTCACCCCAAAACCCTAAAATTCCAAGCTCAACTCCACTCTCGAACTTTGAATCAGGCTAGCACCTGGACCCCGGGCAACTTGGAGGTCGCCCTAAGCCACGCCAGGCCCCAAACCCCAGGCCTTGGCTCAGCCGAAGCCAAGCAGGCGAGGGACTTCTTCGCAAACGGCTGGTGCGTCTTTGATTTGCCCGGGGCTCAGGGCAGCACCAGCCACCCGGGCACGGGAGTGACCCGTGCGCCCCAGGGCAAGACTTGCTAAAATTGCCCAGAATCCAAGGAAGAGATTCAGAATCATGTGTCCGAGCACGTGATCGGCGGATGGTTTTGCCTTGCAACTCGCTTATTGACCAACAAGCAATTACGATAGTGTTCGCCGCTTCACACACGAGTTCAGGAACTGCCGCTGCATGTGGACTCTTTTTCTCATTGGGCGAATGCGTTATCATATTCGCGCCTACACCAATGTTACGCAATGTACATGTTTCAGTTTCCGATTTCCTGATGTTCCAGCAGTTTTCCTGTCATGAGTGAGGGCTTGGCCCAGGCGAGCAGCTGCCACAATCCACCAATTTCCTTGGTTCAGAAAAGGTCGGCTGTTAGGAGTCCAGTTTTTTGATGGACTTCCGATGTGTTTTCGGCACAGCCAGAAATATCCTATTGGCAAATGGTGTGGAATTCTCCACCAATGATACTTTTTCGGCAAATCCTTTGCTTGAACCCTGCAGGAGTGTGTCATGCTATCAGCATGTTGGTGTTTTTGTAACTCGGGACCTTCCTTTCAAGGATGCAGACTTGCATCACTTGGTGACAGTTGATGGCATAACTGAAGGGTCCCTAGCGACCAGAAAACCTCTCGCGCCTGCCCAGTATTGTGGCGCTGCTCGCAGTGGCCGAGAGCTGAGCGTCATTTGGTCTCAAGTAAGCGGAAGCAGTGGACAGGTTGTTCAGGCAAGGGTCGTGGGAGGTACTGAAGTGGATAGGGAAAAGCCTCCAAAAGCAACCTAGTCTTGCAACTGGACAGCTTCCACTGGATTCACTGCATCTGGGTACACTCCCTCAGACTAGCTCCCAGAAGGCCTCTGTAAATGGAACCAAGTCTTCCGAAAATGTCCTGTGAGCTTCCATGTTAGTCTGGGGGAGGGTAGGTGCCCGATGCGAGCGACCCCATTTAGACCAATCCGAATCCATCTGTCAGCAACTGGCTGTGGGTCAACACCCTGTACCCCTGGTGAACATCAAAATAGGTGGCAAATGGATGTTCATCCACCCCCAAAATGGAGCCATAGGTTATGCCCCATGGCCGAATGCCCGGAGCAAACCACCGCCCCACGCCCAGATCTCCACGTGCTATGGCCTGGAACACCTGGGCCGTCAGGGGGAGATCTGTGAGGCGTTTCGGCGACTTGCGAGGAGCCCGTGGCTACCAGTCGAGCACCTGAGTCAGAATCACAACCCGGCACAAAAATGGCCGTAATCCCAGAACCAGGTGGAAAGAATGAGGAGGTCCAATGAGAAGGTCCCTTACCCCCCCCTCCCAAGAAACAACACGTGCTTCGGTTTAGCTTGAAAACACGAAAACGAGGAAGCCTGACCCCGTACAACCCCTCCCCCAGCCTGAGGGCTGAAGTGGGGGCATCAGCCGCGACTTGGTGCCGGCTAGTTTCACTGTATGTCTGGTTGCGTCCCAAGAGGCTTTTGTATTTGTGAATAAACCAGCCAAATATGGGGTTCCCCTCTTTTTGAGACGGCCGTGTTTGTCGAAGGGGGAGACCATCCAGCTGTCAACCAGCTGCTTTGCACCAATTTGGGCAGAGCAGCATTGCAGGAGCAGAACGGATATGGCCAGATGAGCTGCCGATTGTTTCGTAGCCCATCGTGAATCCATGGAGTAGCATCGGCACCATTGATTGAGAATCACAGATTCTTGCGGACAGAATCCAGGTAATGCTGTTCAATATGGTTTTTAGAATTCGGGTTCAGGCTGCAGGTCACGGTACAAGCCTAGTCCAGAGGTCGCGGCTTGTTAGGCCCACAATTTTCACTGGTTCAAACGAGATGATGCGCCCAGAATGGGATTGTTCATTATATTCCAATTTACCGTACAACGTACTATAGCACATAGTGTTTGTTTTGTGTGTGTGTGTATGCTTGTTTTTTGGGGGGAGGGGTTCCCTTGATGAGCCGAGCTGAGTGGGCGCGATGGACAGAGCGCAACCGACCAGCGCAACCGGCGCAACCAGAGAGCGCGAGGCGCAGCTGCCGCTGCTCTTCGTGCGCTTCGTGCTGCAGCCGGCGCGGCTCCTGGGCGCCCTGGCCCGGGGGCTCAACCGCCTGCCTGCTGCTGCCCCGCCTCCCCACGGCCGCCCCCCCCGGTCGGGTCCCCTTGAAACCGGTTTGGTGAAGGCCACAAAGCGGGTGAGAATGCTCTAATTATCCCAGGAAAAGGGGTCCCAAAATCTAAGAGGGTCGGAGTTGCATTTTTGTTGGGTTCTCCAGTCAACGGGGATGCTGCTTGAAGCCCAGCAAAAGTTCAGCTCCCCAGCTTCCAGCATGGTTAGATGTCTCGGGTGAATGGCTCCCGCTAATTCCTGCACCAACCGCGGATCCCCGCGCCCGGGGGGGGGGGGGAATCCATCGCTTCAGAAGTCTGGTGCATGAGATGTCACTGCCTTCAATCACCACTTGCACGGGCAGCGGCTTGCTCATTGACATGCCACGTGTTAGCCACCGTGTTAGCATGTTGTTGTTTCAAGGCTCTCTCTCTCTCTCTCTCTCTCTCTGTTTTCTTCATTTTGTCTTGCAATCTTGCAGGTTTCTTTGCTGTTTCAGAGCAATGACATCGGCCCTTGACTTCTGAACTTTGTGTCCTTTCGAGTGTTCAATGTCGAGGCTCTATTCCACAAGCCTTGGCTACGGTTGCAGTGCCCATGCAAAGCTTGTTGCTGTTGCACAAGCTGCTAGCAATATATAATTGTTAATCGATATTTTGTCCCAAACGATCACTAAAGCTCCGGCGAATCCCAGTCCATTTGAGGTTGCTGCAGCGAGGGGTGTGTGTTTTTGAGAATTTTGTTCTGGTTCCCTTGCAAGGGTGCAAAATAAGGAAGGGATTCAGAGGAAAACTAAGAAACCACCTGAACAATCAAAACCTGGGTAGATGAAGGTTAGTAAGGGGCAGTCCCAGCCAGAAATAGTTGCGGCCGCCTTCTTAGTTCTTTACATGGTTCTGGGTAGACCATTTTAATACCGGGGTTTGATTGTGGCTCACCTGGTAGCCACCCATTTTGAGGGTTCCCTTGGACGCACGCTGGGTTTCTCTGCCGCTGTCACCAGCTTGCTGAACCAATGGATGCGCAGCCGTGATCAGGTTTCGACCTGGCGAACGCGCCGGATGCAGCAGCTTGGCGAGTCGAGCATGAAGCTGCTTCGGTGGGCAGGAAGGTGCATTCCAGTTGCTTATTTAGAATCGCAAGACTTGAGAGCATTGCGACTAACTAGACGGCTTTACCTTCTCACTCATGGGCCAAGGAAGAGGCGATGTTGTATTGAACAGGTGAATCTGACAAGCAAACATGTCATTTGATACCAGCTAGTCACATTGCATCTTCTAACAAGAGGCACCCGCTCCTTGCTAGCCTTTTGTGCAGATAAGCGCCTGCCCGTTGTGTTGCAGTTGTTGCTACCTGAGGCAATGAACAAGTTGCAAGAGTAGAGATGCTTCTTGACCTGCTGAGGCTCAACGTACAAGAGCTCACAGTCGACGTGAGCAACCTCACCAATGACACACGCTTTGAGGCACTGCAGGACGGGCGGTACATCATCCCAATACAGGGATCCTTCTTTTCAGGAACCATCAAAACCCAGGGAACCAGCTGGTTTTTGAAACGAACGATGGTTGAAAAGACTGGAATCAACCCCTAGATATCTCTTTGCAGTGCAACTCATCATTTAGAATTTGAGCTATGTCAGGGGAAAGTGCAAAGGCACAAACCTGCGGACACACAGAAGAGGATGCTGTAGGTCTTCAGCAAGCCATTCAAGCGACCACCACACAGTTTTCTAGCAACGACGCTCACAATTCTTGGATTGCGAGTCATGCTCCGACGGTGTGAGCAGGAAGGGCTTGTATGCTGGATTGAACCATTCTCCATTTTGCGGGGACTGAGCTGCAGCCACCACAGGATGTTCCGGAAACAGGGCCAGCCCGGGCAGCGCTTTCTTCAAGGATGATGGTCCTCATCTTCGTGTAGGCATTGACTGGCAGGGCTGCGACTGCGCAGCGCGTAGGCATTTCGCGGCGGCTCATGTTGTGCCTTGAGTAGGCCGTCGCGTAGGCGAGAGTTTCGGAGCTTTGCTGGTCATGTGACATGCGGGCGTGGCGGGCCCGTGGGCCCGTGAGCCCGTGGCCTCCAGATAGACTCTTCTCGACATGTGGTATTATGAAAGGGTGAAAGACTGTTGCTCGCATGGAGCCGCGCCGGGGAGCAGAAGCCCCGCATGTCCAGCAAGCAAACCTCTTCCCAAATTTCAAGAATCTGATCCGGATTTTGCGTAGCCATGTCGTGTCCAAGATCCAACTGGGGGCCCTTCGATTCAAAGCGTTGCTTTACTTGGCCCTTCCGTTGAAGGAGCTGCCAAGTTGCTGAGAAGTTGCGATTCTCGACAAGGGAACGGCGAACGCACCTCACAAGGTTTTACGCAGCCCTACATGTGTTGAGCTTCCAGCTTTCGAGTAAGCGTGTCGGCATGTTATCTAGTCAATATGGGCCTACAAAGGCCTTAGTTGTGCGTGGCAGATTTCGTGTCGGCGTGGCGGAGGCATAGATACAAGTCATATCTGTCGCCCAGCTGGAGGCCACAGAGTGCAAGCTTCGTTTTTGGCTCCACTAGCGTTAACCTATGAGCATCAGTTCGCGAATCAACCCCACGACTGTGCTCGGCGCAGGAGATCTCCTGAGCCAGCGTGTCGCACAGAACGAAAAGGGAAGGCGCTTCGGCTTCGGCTGGGAAGGCGCTTGGATCGGATGTGCTACGATCGCATTGCACCCCGCGGTTACGGAATGTCAATGCTTACATTTTGTGGTTCGACCGAAGGTTCACAACTTAGAAGCAGGTTTACGTGTCGGGAACCTTGACTTTGCGTGTTAGGAATTCCGAGTGAGTTCTGAAGCAGCATTGGTCTTTGCCTCATGGCAACTGACTACAAGCATCCATGCTGGAAGGGTGACTTGATTATGAGCGTTGCCATGATGAGGGCCTGCACAACACTCTACTGGCAGCCTGAAGGGCCGGCGGAGCCTTCCCTGGCAGCCTTTGGATTTCGTAGTTGCATCCACCGATCAGTCCAACAATACGTGAGCAACTGCGGGGTCGTGATCTCACTTGTTTTTGTTCTGTGGGTGTTGTGTCACTCAGTGCATGAGAAGCTTCTGCTATTGCCGTATCTATGTGGGCCAATTGCCAATGGGCTATGCTTTGCTGTCAAAATACGGGCAGAGGCTTGCACGCGCCTGGTTGTGATATTGACATGATGTGACCTGAGGGAAGCTTTTGGTGGACTGCCATGAGATTGCCGAAGGGGCCGCTCGAATGTCCTGTGGGCCTTGTTTGCCTTGTATCAGCTGCATAGTTGGGCGGCGATTCGTCTAGTATTGGGCACGAACATGAGTGAACCCGACGAATCATCCAAAACATGAATTGCAAACAGCTTCCCAGCATCAAATGTCACACACACAAATGCGCACAGACACCATGCACAGCTCAAATGCCGCGCACTAATTTTGACGTGCTTTTTGGATGTGTTGCCAGAGTAGTAAAGAGTAGCACGAACGGGTCTCTTCTGAGGTCCCATGAGGCCCGTCCAGTCCAAGCATGTCAAGTACAGATCTTAACGTACAACCCCACCTACTCACGTCGACATTTTTGCCATTACATCCAAGCATGCATGACCTGCATTGCTATCCAGAGTTGAGGTTGTTGATCATCCACTGAAAGGCGCACCACATGTGGCGCAATGGCCCTCGCAGCAAGCGGGGACAAATGGCAGCAACAGCTGGAGGTCCACTGCTAGATTGGTCGGAGCTGCGTAGCAACTATGCAACTGTCCCGTTTGTACAAGCCCTTTCGTGTTGTCGCATTTGATCCGGATCAGACAGCATGCACGGTGTACTACTTTGGGGTTGGTGGGTTGGGGAAAGACGGGCCATACCAAGCCGACGTGGCTTTCCTGGTAGGCCGACGTTTTGCAACTCAAACCCCTTTGACGGGATAAAATCCAAATCGGCTTTGGCGCCTCACGTGTTCACATGCTGAGGGTTAGTGTGTTGTCCTTGCATCCCAAAACGCGAATCTCGTAGCGCATCGGCCTTCTGTCAAGTCTCTTCGCAACCTGCTTGACCAAATTGTTTGGTTGTTCCTTCCCTGGCCCAGCAGCTGAAGGGGGCAACTTTGCTGTCCTTGTTGGTAGGTCCAGCTGATCCTTGATGTTGCCTAGATCGGGGAGGTATTCTTCTCGGTTTCTACTGCAATTCTATTGGGCAATGACATCCTTGTCAGTCCTTGCGCAAAGGTTTTGAGCTCCTAGCACCGAACATTTGATTTGAAGAGATCCCGGTTGATTGCGTTCACTTCAAAGGGAAACCTGTGAAAAGTAATTCTCAAAGGATCAGTGACATGGCAAACCTGGAGTCCCCAGCCTGATTTCTACGCGGGCAGGGTGGTGACAAGGGCAGTGAGAATGGCACTGACTTCGTGCTGCATCGCTACTTCCCCTTGGCAGTCGGACAGCCTGGACTGGACACAGTCGAGCATGTCTGTTGGCGTTGATGTGAAAAGAGATTGTAATTTCACACAGACACAATGTTGTCCTGAGATTGAGGCTTTTCCTGGAAGCCATCCTTTGCAATTCTCGGATTCCCAAGTTCAAGGAGGCTCATTTTGACTTTCGCTGTTCTTGGTGTTCCCTTAGTGAATGCCGTTGTGTTCTTTTTGAGGGATTTGCCTGGTCGGAGGAGAAGTTATGTATAGACTAGCGCTAAATTACGCACCATTGACTGGTTGGGCATGTGCTTCCTTTGGAAGAGAATGTACAGATAGCCACCGAGTGTTTGTTGTTGATGTCAATTATTATTCTATAAATATTGATTGACACAATTGAAGAAGCCGGGACCAGGAGAATAGCCACTGAGCGTGAGACTTCGGCTGGGCAAGCTTTGGCGAGGCCCACGACTAAAGGGCTCGGAAAGACGACTAAGGGGCTCAGGCTGGAAGAGGGGGTCCAGGAAAAAACGATTTGTCGGCAGAAAATGGGGACTCTTTCGCACCAGGAAGATAGTTGTGTCCATGGACAGCCGACAAACCAAGCGAGATTCCCACTTGGAGCGGAGCCGTGCCAGCTCAGCAAAGGCAATCGCGTTGTACAGTGAAATATGTTGCTCGAGCATTCGGGGTTTGATGTCCAGTGTTGCGACATGCCCAGATGACCGAACAAAGGAGCAGAACAACGACATGGGACATGTGCCCGAGCTGTGATAAGCCATGGGACTCTCCATGGTAACAGATTCATTCGTTTCTTTTTTCTCATCAGAACCGCACCCCGGAGTTTTCACAACGTGCGCACACGCCCAGGTTGCCATGGCGGTGATGGTACGGCTTCTCAGTCTCTATGATCTCAGGCCTTCTGGCCGCCGAGGTTGCAGTTTTTTTGACGCTTTGGAACAGATTGGAGATGGTGTTTTTTGTTTTCCTAGCCCTGGTCCCCCCTTAGCCCTGGTTGGTTGGTTGGTTGGTTGGTTGGCTGGCTGGCTGGCTGGCTGGCTGGCTGGCTGGCTGGCTGGCTGGCTGGCTGGCTGGCTGGCTGGCTGGCTGGCCGCATCCCCGGCATCACCAACATCACTTGGACCTGGGGTTGCCTATTGGCTCTGATGGGTAGCAGTTGGGAGTTGCTGGGGTCTGGTTTAAGTTAGGGGGGTTTCGGCTGGCTTAGATCTTCATGAGGGTGGGTCTTGGGGTGGTTTGGGGTTGATTTAGGCGAAGCGAAGGGCTGACATCCAGGCTGCTGTTGGGCGGGTTTGGGGTTGACTTTGAGTGGGTTTGGGGTAGCTTGGAGCTGATTTGTGTTAGGTGTGCTGCTGGTTTAGCAGCGGCTTTAGAGTTGCTTTAGGGTGTGGTTAATAGAGTTTTTTGGTCTCCACCAAAACTAGACCAGAACTCTATTAACCACAAATCAGCTCCAAGCCAACCCAAACCCACTCAAAGTCAACCCTAAACCCGCCCAACAGCAGCCTGGATGTCAGCCCTTCGCTTCGCCTAAATCAACCCCAAACCACCCCAAGACCCACCCTCATGAAGATCTAAGCCAGCCGAAACCCCCCTAACTTAAACCAGACCCCAGCAACTCCCAACTGCTACCCATCAGAGCCAATAGGCAACCCCAGGTCCAAGTGATGTTGGTGATGCCGGGGATGCGGCCAGCCAGCCAGCCAGCCAGCCAACCAACCAACCAACCAACCAACCAACCAACCAACCCACCAATCACAGCCAGGGTTAGGAAAAAACCAGGGTTAGTAAAAAAAAAAACACCTCCACCGGAACAGATTTGCCGCAGCTTTGCTGGCAGGCCCTTCCTCCCTCCTGACATGGCACCTTACAGGGGGTTGCTTGAAGAGGAAATTGTTTTTCAGAACCTGTCCCACATGTACTGTGGAGAGTAAGCGTGAACTTGAGCCTGGGGATGCATGCATTTCCTGAAATCCTTTTGGAAGCTTCTGTGTGCTGAGGCGACCCTGGGCGTGATAGTTGTCTTCGTCGTGCTACAGGCGCCTGTAGATTGCATCAGCTGCGCGTGATGAGTGTCCACTTGGTCTCGCAGACGGGCCATCACCCGCATGCGTGAAGATGATTGTCCCACTACGAATGCCTCCGCCGCCAGGCAATGTTGTTCAATCCACTATTTCTTTGACTTGATTGAAGCAATCTGGGAATTGGGTAATATTTATGCTGACTTCTTAGGACTTCTATTACTTGCAGCTGGTTCTTCATGTCCGGCTTTCATCTTGTGTTGACCGGTACCAAATGCTTCAAACATTGAAGCAAACAATCCAGCTGTTTTCGCGCTGGACATCCACCACTGCAGCTTAAGTCTCACAGCATGCGCAGGCTCGATCAGCCGGGTGCCTTCGGCGCAAGACCGCTAAGGTCCGCCAAGGCGGGAGGATTCGTTCTGGACTGGTGCTTTCATGTTCTTGCCAACGACACGCCTGCCATCCACTGACTGACATATGAGCGACTGCCTTGATTTGCGGAAGACTAGAGTCCAGACCAGGCAGAAACATTTTTGGGGTGACATACTATATTCAGTGCAAAATGAGGTAGGGCCACGATATATAAGTGGTACAAACGCATGTGGCGTTGGAGAACGAGATGAAACACCCAACTATTCAACCATGTAGCAACTGCCCAGCCATATTTAAAAAGGATGCTTCGTGTTTGCTCTCTCATGTGAATCGGCCGAAGCCCCGCGGATTCCGGGCAACATGAGCCAACGATCGGCTCCGAACCTCGCAGGAACTGATTGCGAGGCCCTGAAACCCGGCGGGAAAAGCAGGGCGCCGAGCAGAATGATGAAATTGGTCAAGTTGTGAGACAAATTTGTTTGAAGAAGAAGAAGAAACAAGACGAAGAAGAAGAAGAAGAAGAAGAACGAAGCAGTTGTTTGAACGTGGATACAAATTCAATTAGCCATTGGATGGGTTGAATATGTAGTCCGCCCATCTATCTAGCTAATTATAATATGTATCTACTCTAGTATTTTCTAGCTCTATCTCTCCACATCGTTACCTCTCCACCTCTCTACTTTCTTACATCTCCTCTCTACCTCGCTATGTCACTATCTCCCTAGTTCCCTATCTTCTCTATCTCTCCATATCTTTTTCTCTCTCTTTATCTTTCTATCTCTCTTTATCTCTTTATTTCTCCGTCTCTGTACCTCTCTATCGCTCTACCTCTCTACCTCTCTACCTCTTTACCTTTGTATCTCTTTATCTCTCTCTCTCTCTCTCTCCCTCTCCCTCTATCCGTCTCCCTCTATCTCTCTCTCTGTTTGTCTCTCTACCTTTCTATCTCTCTTTCTTCCTAGCTCTGTGTCTCTGGAATCCAATCTAATCTAATGCAATCTAAGCTTCATCTATTTGGTTATACACATGTCATCACTCGTTGTCATGGACCCAAATTAGCCCCCCACCCACGCCCACCAGATGTTTATTTGGCCTCAGGGACCACACTTTCTGAGGTTGCGAGTGAAGCGACAGGCGGAGCGCACGCCCGAGAAATCCGCGTGCCGTGCGCGGTCATGTGACGCATGGATATTTTTGCCACTGACCAGAACCACAAGGCGCATATTCCCGGCTCTTCTCTAGGGTTTTTTTCTTTCGAAGGAGATACATCGAACTGTGGCAAGACTACAGTGGACGGAACATGTTGATAGTTACGCAGAAACATGCATGGCAGCGGGTTTGAAACAAACCAAAGGCGTCCTGGATGCCACCCCGGTGCCGCGTGCGTGCACTGCACAATGTGCTGGAAGACTAGAATCCGTAGTCGGTAGCTCCTGTTGACTTCCCATCAGATCATGGCCTCGTTGTAAATGGCGCTGGCACTCCGCGATGGCTCCAGCATTTTGTCTGGAAAGACATACACTCAGCAACACGGTAATATGATCATTTTCAGCATGCTCTCGTGTTGGATTTAAGCTTCCGCCAGCCGAGCTTGGTTTCTGATCGAAACCAATTGTTGCTGTGCAATGACTATCTTAGAAGCGTCTACATGTGTGGCAGACATGTCCATACCTGTCAGGACAGTCGGCTGTGTGCAACAACCGCAATAGCATGCAATAGCACTCAAATGTCAAACTGGACACGCGGAGAGTTGAAGCTATTTTCACAATGTCAACTTTGGACCCGTCAAAAGCGGCACGAATCAGAGGGGCCTTTTTTGCAGCATGTCATCCGAGGGTAATCTGAGGTGACCCTTCGTGCCAATGTTCGATTCCAATCATGACCGCCGAGCAGGAGGCATTGGCCTTCGTGGGGCAAACGTGCCCCGTGGACGTTTCTGCCAAAGGGTGTGTGAATCTTTGTGATCTTGCGGGCATTGCAAGGGTGGGCAAATTGATGGAGAAAACCATTTGCAAGAATTTCCCGTTCAATGGGCGGTGCCACCCTTCAGTACTCTTCTGGGATTCTCCACATCGTGGTTCTTGAAAACCGCATTGTCGGCAAGCGATGCGCAGGCCACGACGACGACCGGGGCCAATATCAAGCGATGGCTACGGGACCACGAACAGCCAGCAAATCCCGTGCCAACCTCAAACTGGGACAACCTCTTGATAGGTAGGCCGACCAGTCCAAACAGCCCAAGTTTCGAGATTTTTTTTCAATTGACCAAACTAGAGCATGCCTTTGTTCAGAGACCACCTATTGCTGGGATGAGGTTCAACCAGATAGGCTCAACTTGGATGTTGCCGGCGCTGTTCGGTGCTTTGGCACTCCTCCGGCTTCCTGCCATCTGCCATGAGGTTGGGATGGCCGAAAGCATTGCCCTGAATTTGGCCGTCTTGGCGGCAGGCGCTGCGAATGCGATGTTCACCTCATGTTCTTTCATTGGGATCCATCGGGTTCGGCGGTTGACCAGTACGGCAGATCTGCGGACCTGGGACTGTGAGAACACTCGAATTGCGCGTCACTGCTTGTTGGACCGGACAGAGCGTGTGCAGATTCAAGTGCCACGCCAAGCATGTCAAAGGAGACCTGAAGGACAGCCAGTGTTGGTGAAAGTCTCAGATCCTGATAGGCCTTGTGATCTTCTACATCATGCGCATGTGCCGCCGCGCGAGGCGGGTGTGAAACGCTTGATGCCATCGCGGAGGGAGAGTTCTGTGGGCACGAGGGGAAATCTCAATTGAACCATTGTTGGCCAGGGTAAAAATATTCAACATCAAAAATAAACCCACCTGGCTGGCTCTTGTATGTCAACTTTCTGCCGCATACCGCTGTTTGAGACGGCTAAGGCGAGCACCTGTGGCGGCACTTTTGATGCTTGGCACAAGACACCCCAACTGACTCAAACGCCAAGAAAAGGCCTACTCCCGGCGTGTGGTTGATACTTGCTTTTGGGAGGATGTGAGCAAGCACGCACACAAATGGCACGCTCTTCCATGATGTTGGAGACCAGTCAGCTTGTTGCGGGTTCCTTTCGCATCCTGAAGATGGAGGGAATGCAACGTTACTGAGCAAAGCTCAGGCAACGCAAAGTAGAGTGAGTAGCAGCCCAGGCGTCTTACCTAGCTTCTAAGGTGGCTCCTTGATGTCATCGATGCCCCATTCACCTGACGGGCCGAAAGGGGGTGCCGTGCGTGCTTTTTTCACTGGTGGCTGCCTGCGAGGCGACGTAAGAGCAGCTTCTCGAGCGGCCCCTCCGAAAGGCCTGGCGACTGTTTTCCGATTTTCCGATGCGTGCGGCGCGGTGTTCCATTTTCGCATCATTTCGCATCAAGCTCGGTCGGTGATGGGAATGTCGATCAAACCCTTTTCTCAGTTGCAGGCCGACAGATTGTGACCTGTTCGTTTCCTCATCAATTTTTCGCGGCCGGAGGTCAACCCTATTTCCATACCCCTTCGATCAGGGGTGGCGGGGTTTGTCGTTCTGGGGGATTGGAACAACAAGTGGGGGGGGCGAGTGAGATATTTTCGCGAACCGCCGGGTCCCACAAAAAACCCGAGACGCCACTGCGCTGAGGCTGCTGAACATCAGCTCCGAGCGGAGCGCCTTCGAGCTGGGCCCCGGGCGCGGGACGCGAGTGAGGGGATCTACGGCGCCATTGGGTCGGAGGAATCCCTGGGGTAGAAGGGCTATGGGGCGAAATTAAGCCAGAAAAAACCGTAGGTTTCAGTCCTTTTCCATTTAACCGGGTTCCATTCGGATAATGACTTGTTTTGACCCGCCAAAGAGAAACCAAAGAGGGGTACGGGTCCCAACGGGAGATTCCTCGAATGTGTTCTTGTCTAGGATGTGCAATGTCAAGCTTCATTGGATTGGCCTGCAAGCGCATCGGCATGTTTGATTGGAATCAGACTTCTAGAGGGACAAAGGGCACTCTTCATACCCTGCTCAAGCACACGACGCATGCCATTTGTAGGGAGCTTTGGATGGACGTCGAAGCCGTTGGCGGCGACCTACGTCCAAGCCGCCGGGCTAGGGTTCAGATGGTTCCAGCCCCATGCTCGCGTGTACCGCCAGGTTTCACTCCACCGTGGGAATCTCAGGACGTGGCCAAGGGGCTGCAAGTTGCCAAAGGTACCGTAGTCCTTTGCAGTGCCCTCTTCCATTTTTGGGTCGAAGGTTTGAGGGGAAGCCTGTGGGGAAGAGGCGAGCAGTTCTCTAGTGCCAAACGTCGTTCTTTTGATGGTGGGGGTGAAGAGTCAAGGCGCCACCCACTTTGTTTGAACCGTAGGCCCTTGAGTGTACCGTCATTTGCTTCAGGCAGGAAACGAAGCAGCCTGCACCGTGCGGGCAATGCTGGATTTGGCCAGAAAGCGTGGCAAACATGCTTGAACAACTTTTCAATCAGCACAGAAGTGCCAGAGGGAGGTGGTTACACATGTTCGTCACACGAATCGTCAATGCCAAAGCAGTGATTCAGCAACTCTAGCGGTTCAATGAGTGACGATTCGGTGGCTTCCGGGTATCACTCGCTGCAGGCGCTCAACTATCTCATTTTTCTCCGGGTTGCTGCGGAGAGTCTCAGACTGCATGGCCTTTTTTCATGCCAAGAAGCCCTGGTGCGTCATCAAGTGATGTCAAGATTTGGGCGGGACGATTTCTCGGAGAAGCATGCTTGCTTGCTTGGCTTGCTTGCTTGCTTGCTGGCTTGCTGGCTTGCTGGCTTGCTGGCTTGCTGGCTTTCTTGCTTCCTTGCTTCCTTGCTTCCTTGCTTCCTTGCTTCCTTGCTTCCTTGCTTCCTTGCCTGCTTGCCTGCTTGCCTGCTTGCTTAGTCGCTTGCTTGCTCGCTTGCTTGTTTGTTTGTTTGTTTGTTTGTTTGTTTGTTTGTGTGTTTGTGACGACGTTTGATTGTTCTGGTGTTTCTCTTCATTTTGCGAGATGATGATCCGCTGTCTACTGACTTTGGCAGACCCTGCATAACTGGAAGGCACTGGTGTGCTTTGTTGCTGACACCACAGATCAGCCACAAAAGGCTTTGACTCAGATTGCTCGAAACTAAACGCGGCCGTCGTCGAATATTCACACACCTAGCGTTGCAAACTGGATACCTTGTCAATTCCTGCCTCGGGTAAACAACGGGTCATGGAATGTCAGTGGCAAGAAAGGTAACAGAGCAGCAACGAGCCACGCAGAGGTGTGCAGGGCAGCAAACGAAGCAACAACCCCCTACCTCAACAAGCGCGCCTTTTTCCCCAGCCGAGGATGTGTACAGTGCTGACTGTGGCCTCTGCGCTCATTGTGATTCCCCACTGGGGCGTGGGGGGCCCAGGCCGATGCCTTTTGCCGTGCAAACTAGTCCTGCATGCGTTGAACTGTTGTCTTCACGTCGGTTTTCCTGTTCTAGAAACACCATAGTTTGCCAACTCTTTATTATTTCTACATGTGTTGGCGGAAATTGGCGTTCCCAATCGCAACTGGCATATCCACAGAACAAAGAGGGCAGATTTAGAAGCAGAACTCCCGGCAATTTCCAGTTGGAAGCCATACGCTTCCGGAAAAGGATGCGCCGGTACGCGCAAATCACTTGCTTTCATTCCACAAATCCACACAGCCACCTTCTGAGGTCACGTGATAGGAACCGTGCATGCCATGCCATTGCTCCTGAGGTGATGCCCTTTCTGTTGGGAGGCTACACGGGCCGCGTTTCCCTCGCAGAGGACAGGGAAAGCCAAGGTGTTTCCCTTGGCGCCTAGGGCTCGGTGTCCCTCTGAGAAGTTCGGAACGGCCAACGTTGGCATGGCGTGTGTCATAAGACGACAGCTCAAGCAGCACCATGTCAGGGTAAGGATCGATTTATTTAGCTCCCTGGCAACAACTTGAACCTGGGCCGGCAGTTGATGGCAGTTTGCCTGCGGGCAAGGGGTTTCTTCAGGTCTTTCGGGGTCTCACGAACAACCAAAAGCCCCTCTTACAGGTCCTTCTCTGCAGGTGACGAGATATTCAACTCACCCAGATTGGTGTTCAAGTGTTGCAAGGTTGATACGACCATTCAAAAGAGAATCAACATCAACGGATAGGCGTGCACCTACCGTCATGCCCAAGGGTTGGCGAGACATGCAGTGTGCCGCACCAGAGCATGTCGTGAGGGGCTCGCTCACCCACTGCTGGTTTTGCCATCGGAATTTTGCAGGACATCGATTGCGATGGCATTTGTCTGCTGTGCGCGGCGCCCCAAAGAGCAGCCTCTCTGTTTGCCAGTGCTTCTGGCTGACTGTGGTTCGATATGCATTGACGGCATCCTCACAAGATGATTCTCAACAGGTATTTGTGCATCAGCTACCTACAGTGTGAGCCCGGTGTTTTTGAAGGTATGTTTACCTCACTCCTTGCGTGATCATCCTGCAATGTGATTCGTTCCTCAATCAGCGGACGTAGTGACTTACTGGTGCTGCCAGGAACGTCCAGGCAACGGAACCCACATTAGCGCTGGCATAACCCTTGCTTGTTGATGCGGGGCCAAAAGGAAATGGGAGTCTAAAAGAATGCACGCGTCGATTGCACGGAAGGAACACACGGAGTGAAGGAGGCTAAGGAGGATTTGGGTAGAGCAGGTAACAAAACAGGTGGTAAGATCTTGCACCCCCGCGAGACGAGAATTCTATTTGATCAATAATCTCCTGCAAAGGGAAATAGGGAGCCACGTATTCCATTTTGGTGTATGTCTTGTGCACCAGCATTTTCCATCAAAGATTGAAGAAGCGCTCCACATTGCAAGCCGGAAGACGGAAACTCCTGAAATTATTTTTTTGCCAGCCTCCGCCAGTGTGTGACACCTAATGTTCACTTCGCATTCAGCTGACAAAAATCAAGCAGAGGACTTGCTCTAAAAGGGATCATTTTCCCAGCAAGCAGCTTTGCTTAATTTGGATCATCCAAGCACCATGGTAGTCGTGCAGATTACTTCCCATCATTGTCTGCACGCAATGCAACCAAAGCACGTGGCTTTAGCCTTGGTTTGTGTGCATTCGATGCAATTACAGATGATTTCAGTGCAGTCCGACCAAAGCTAAACAGCTGGTAGCCTGACAAAATCAGGCTTCAGCCTTTTGAACTCCAATGAAGCACGGCCCATCGCACAATCGATGTTTTTGCTCTGACCAGACCTAGTTTACCATTGGTTTGCCACTCCCACCTAAGTTGGTCCATGGCCTGAGGTTCGAAGTACAAACCGCAAGCGATGGGGACAGAGACAAACAAGCTTCTTATACATAGATACTGGAAAAGGACACACTCCAAGATTCCCTCGCATCCAAGCACCATCCCGTGCCACAGCCAAAGGCTTCAACGCGGACGGAGTTGACCTTTCCAGCGACATCATTCCCCATGGTGCCTCTTCACTTTCCTCATCTTAGCCCCCATGGCCCACTTCTTTCTGAAGATGCCCAGGCTTGTTGGTGGCGGTGCTGGGGGTGCTGGTCTTGCTCTTCTCGGAGTTCCGCATGAAGCGACACATGCGGGTCAGGACGGCCATGCATCCGAAGCCGGGGATCCCAGCCAGCGATTCTGCGCCACAGACCATGAGTAAATAATCACCCCTGGGGGGGGGGGATTTGGGTATTTTCAACATGCCCATTAGTGTCTCCACAGGGACCTCAGGATTCCTCTGCAGTGCAGCTGTTGCTCGGTTCGCCCGTGCGCTGAAAACCCATATTATCAAGCAAAGCGCGGGGTGTTTCGCGGCGTGGTTGTGTGGGGCTGACAATCTACGCAATGTGTGGGTCCATGCACACGCGGTTTGCTCGCCTCCCTCAGGTACATCAAGTGGCTGGACCAGGCATTATGGCTTACCCACCTGCCAGTGGGCGACCATGCCACGGGCAAGAAGTTCAAGCTCACTGACAAGGAGAGAGAAGCTACCTGTCCACGTGGAACATGTCTTCGTCAAGTTTGGTTTGTCTCAGGGCAGGGTTTGGAGACCCCATGAGGTTTGTAACTTCCCATGGTGACGAGCCCCGGTTATGCGCAAACCAAGTCGCGAACGTAATTTGGGGCCTCAAGACCCAGCGCGAGTTTTGCTACCGTTGGCACTATGGAGAATATAGCAGCTTATCCTCTGCCTCGCTTGCCTCAGATTTGCGGCGACTACTTGGCATGAACGAGCCTGGACTGTCCAGCCACAGAGCAAGCCACAAGCTTGGAGAAGCCACCGAACCTCTCAAGGAAGCATCAGCTTCTGGTAAGGACATTTGGAGGAATTACCCCGACCTCTTTAAAGAATGGACTATCCACTGACAAACGAACCAGCTGAAATGGTGCGAATGGCACACTAACGGCCCCAGGGCTCGCAGCCTCACTGAGCTGCACACTCCATGGTTTCGAAAGCGAACCATGCGGCCTTTGTTTGGGATGTTGGCCCTGGGTCCTTGAGCCCAAAGAGCACAGTGTCATTCCCGATGAAGTTCTTTGCGCAGAGTGGTCTTCACTTCACCTCGGGAAATCCGCATATCGACCATGTGCTCAGATGGCTCGCAAGGACTTCGACCGCGTGGAAGAGTCCCTGAAGCGAGCCATCGAGGAGCGACTCAACGGCCATTTCCGGGGACCCATGTTGCAATGTCCCATCCTTCAAGGACCCAAGATGGCCATGGGTCATAACCTATGCCTCCATTTTGGGGCGATGAACACCCATGTACCACCTATTTTGATGTTCACCAGGGGTACAGGGTTTTGACCCAGCCAGGTGACTCAAGCACATGTTGCGTTTCAAAAAGCCGCTGTGAGGACAAAATCGCGGAGGTCATGGATAAGCAGGACGAGTCAAAGGCAAGGAGCAGAATTCAATTTGAGGGGTTGCGCCATCGCCTCGCCACAATGACATATTGGTGCCGCTTGCAGCTTGGATTCGCAATCTGTTTGTAGACTGGTGAGGGGCATCTCAACTTTGACAGGACTAAGGAGCCACACTTTGCACATCGCACCAATGCTGTCAATTTCTCGTTGCCGCAACGCCGCGCCGGTCCGCACATCCGGATGTTCCGCTGCATCCACACGCAGTTGCCTGATAAAACCTCAGACTGTCCGCTTGGGCCGACCTGTGTTGGCCAGGTCTCAAAATGAGTTGTCCTCTTTCTTGTTTTTTGCTTGTTTTTTTTTTTGGGGGGGGGTTCTGAAATTAAACACCGCTATTCGGATGGTTCCATTTATGGTACTTTGTTTCAAAGCAAGGTAGCTGCAAAGGAAGCACAAACGCGCATGCCACACATCCGACACCCAAGCATGTCTTAGCACAAGACATTCAGACCGTCCGGTCAAATCTGCACATTGCTCCTCGAGCGGGGAAGGTTGATGCGGCCCCATTGCGCGCAGGTAGAGGCAGCTGCAAGCGCCAGGAAGGAGGATGACGACGATGGGGTCGACACTTGGCAGACCATGCCATTGGCACACCCACACCTCTTACAAGCAAATACCCAATGGAGTTCGGTTCATATCGCGTAAAAATGGGGGGGATGGACTGAGCCATATGCGCAAAGTTCCTTAGCTTACTTGATACCCTTGCGAGATTCCCGAAGGAATCTGTTGGCCCAGATGCAGAAGCAGTGGAATGCAAGCTATCACTGCGCCATTCATCCCTTTGACCTCGAACATAATATATGATTGATAGCGAGACAGCGACCTAAAGTATTGAATGAGGTCAAACCGAGGTACTGATATCCACCTGTTTCAGGGCTTGCAGACTGGTGGAGCTAGGTTTTTGAGTCTGATCTTGCGAGACATTTGCTCTCCGCATGCCTAACCTTCGGATCGAGGAAGCGGATCTCAAGCGCAAAGTGCGCACCGGAGCCCTGGCTCACAATCCACCAGGCGGGATGGACGGAGGGTGGCTCGGGTTCCCTTGGCCGAAAAAGGATCAGTATGACCAGTCCACCAGGTGATTGGGCTGTGGTTCTGGCATCGGAAGAGCCCTGAAAACAGGGCTCCGTTTGGTGCGCTGTTGCCTTTCTCTCCGGAAATCGGATGCTTTTCCTGGGATGGGAATGTCCCAAAAACATCCCCCATATCTACGGGTCCAAAAGGGTCTCCGCACTCGGGCCGCTCCGAGGCCGAGTCCTGCGGGTGCACGTGGCCTTTGTGGTGGACGATTGGTACCGGGTGGACAGCAGGCACAAGGAGACCTGTGAGAGGCACGGAAGCAGCTGGGACTGTGATCTAATGATGCTCTCATGATCATAACTCATGATGTTATAATGATGCTCTTCCCTTTACTTTTCATCTTGCAATGATCTTCGACTGGTTCTTGCAAGGTTTTTTTGTTTTACAACAGTTGCACTAGTACGAAAACAAGGGCCTCCACAGCGTCCCCTTCTGTTTACTTAGGATGTTAGTCTAGTTGGACAAAAGCTCAGGCGAGCTGTTTGGAACAGATGCTTCGTTTGTGGCATTATTCGTCCATTCTTGTCGAGTCATTTTCTCGTTCAAGAGAAGCAACGGCGACATAGGGGTCCTTTTGCCCCATGGCTTGTGGATAACTTGGGGGAATATGTTTGGGCATGAAACCCGCGCACGCTACCCGTTTGTTTTTGTTGTTCCCGGGTCTACTGTTTTGTTGATCAGGATCTATGGAGTTTTGCCTGATGCCACACGATGGCATGACTTGAGGATGGACTATTCGCAGTTGATTTTCTCCTGTCACGGATCAACTCATGATCCTTGGCAGGTCTGGATATTGGCATTCACCAGGGACGACGATCATTCCTAGTGTGTGAGAGAGAGAGAGAGTTGAGCATACTCCCCTTATTATATATGCTATTTACATGTATATATACATGTATATTTGTTGAGTCATTATAAGAAGCTTATTTTGTGGCAAGGCAGGCTTCAAACTTGAGTTTGTACATTGTCATCAGTTTGATTTGAATAATTGTAAACGCCTCGCGTGGCCTGCCTCGGCAAGGCGCTATTTGATTTAGAGGCGTCCTTTGATCTGTTGTTCTTACCAGAGCCAGGCGTGGAGAAGCTTGGCAGCTGGCAAGAAACGGCGTTCATTCTTGGCGTATTAGCTTCGTGAAACTATCCGCCTGGCACTGATGGACAGCGACAAAGGCAGGGGGGTTACTCCCCAACCATTGATGCTTCAGTGCAGCTGGAGAGCTACACCCTGAGGCCAAGGGCAAAGGGGTAGCAAAAGCATTGAGGGGGTCTCGCTTGGGGGCAGCTGGAGAGCTTGTCTGGGGCTGTAGGAGCCTGCGCAAAGGTCAGGCTGAGGGCAAGGGCTCAAACCAGCTCGGGCGGCCAGTGGCAAGCACGTCAACGCGTGGCCGGCTGCGTGTTGGCTGCAGGCTATGAACGTGTGGCCATAGCTTGGTTGTAGCTGGCCACCCTGAGGGCCAAGGGCAAGGGGCTGGGTATAGGTGCGTGGCGCTTCAGCTGCGCTTGGCCCTTGGCCCTACAGCCGTAGTCCAAGGGCAAGGGGCTGGGGGTAGGTGAAGCTGAGGGCCTGCTTCAGGTCAAAGCAACAGACGCATGATTTGCATTTGGAACCGTACTGCGAAGTATTTGCAAACTCCTCTCATGACTGTTGCTTCGTCAAGGCGGCGAAAGAGGAAACTTACCAAGTCCACAAGACTTCTTCGCACGTGACGGTTGGTTGCCTGAGTTTCTTGTCGGACCGCGATGCGCGCCTTACGGTAGTTCACTACGCAGCAGGGAACGAATGCTAGCATTTTGGACCACTGTCATGGGCAAGACAGCTGGGCCTTTTGACTTGGCATCAGTCCAGCACGCGGCCCATGGGTACATAGCTCCACGGGGTCAGCTTGCCAAAGCTCGGAGTTGTTCGCCAGCATGGATCTTGGGGATGGCTCTCATTCACCACAAAAGCAGGCAACCAAGGGAACCACCCTTTGAAACCACGATGGAAAGTGTTTGGCTGCGGGTGGCAACTGGGATTGACTGGGATGGCCACTGGTCGCACGCGACTAGGCTGGAGCTACGGCAGCAGCAGTTGGAAGCGCTTCGACAGGCCCCGCTTTGGACCGTGCCAAGATGCGGAGAGTCCCCTGTATGTGGAGCTTCTATGTACTTTTGCGTGTTTTTGGACGGCGGTCGAAGTGACAGACACAAGTCAGACATTGCCTGATCTCGGGGAAAAGCCTGGTGAGCATGCCAAAGGGGGCCTTTTGCTCAGCCTGCACGTGTTTCAGTGTTGAAATTAGTGAAAAGGTTTGGTTCGCAGTTGACTTTGTGGGTGTCCATGGTTGTCTATGCTGCAATACGTTCCCAGGTGGGGGCTGCCAGTGGAAACATGGCAGCCTTGACTCCGTTGACATGTCATGCGCCGTTGCATGAAAACATGAACTGCCGTAACGTGTTTGGTTAACAAGCCTGTCCAAGGCTTGTCTCATGTCTGTAAAGCTGGCGGCACTTGAGGAAACAATCTGGATCTTGAAAAGCGCCGCGCATGTGTTGCACATGTCCCTTTGCGTGGGTTTTGTTTCAAGCCGGCAAAAGGCTCACACGAGCCTGTTGACTGCCGAAACCGCTTCAGGAGGCTTCGAGATGGTGCTGCTGGAACAGGCCAGCGCTTTCGGCCAGAGGTTGGGTGGTTTTTTTTCTTGGGCTCGGGGCTTTCTGCATCTCAAGGGATCGTCCAAAGGAATGGAGGACTGCTAGCCTATCACGTTTTCCAGCTGCAAGTGGACACTTGCGTGGCCTTCAGCACCGGCTGAGCGGCGCTGATCGAGTTTGCTCTTGCAATTGTGCTGCAGAATTGGACGACTTAGCACAGGCCGTTTGCTTTCCACAAACATGGCGCTGCAAGCTGGATCCAACATCAAGCTGGCACGTAACACGCTGCAACAGCAGTTTGTCGATGCGATTGCGCAGAAGCTGCTTCCTAAGCAACCCGATCCCTTTATAGGACAGAAACTTGTGCTCATCGAGCCCGATCTTAAAAAAACAAACAAACAATATATATCAATGCGCATTGATGGGCACCTCAGCTTGGTTGCGTGCCCATGATCACATGCAATGCCTGTTTGGCCAGTGACCGATGTGCAAAACACTGAGATTATAGGCTTTCGCTGTTCTGAAGGCTGTCCATGATGCATGATGTCTTGGACGTTTGGTTCACGCCTGGGCTTGTTTGCCTGCGTCAGGTCCACGAGCTTTGTTGAATGGTTTCGCCCAAAGAAAAAAGGAACAACATGCCTTAGGGAATGAAGTATCGTAAGCGCATTGCCAATCATTGCCTGTTCCAACCTGACACTTCTTTCCAGCGTCAAAGGGGTTGTGGCAGGTATTCGTGAGCCATGCTGAGATGCTTGGCTAGTTTGAATGTTTGCTAAGGAGTCCCACCAGTTCCACCCAATCGCATGACACCGGACGCCTCCAGCTGCTTCTCCCCCTGTGCCAGGTTCAGGCAGCGGATGCGAATCCGCAGGCTGGAGCGGCAGACGCGGCGCCTACAGGACCAGGCCCCTTTGCATGGCGATGGGACGTCGGAGGTGGGTCTACCAGCTCATAGCTTATGACGTAAGGAAGGGATTAAGGGAATGCTGAGCTGTTTCGCGATCCACAGTTTATTGTCTTCCAGAGGTCCCTTCGTCAATGTACCTGAATGCCTGAAGGTTGCCTTGGAATGACTTGTCGATGATAGTTGACTGCTATTGTAGCGAGTGTGGCATAGTTCGTGGTGGTGGCACCGATGTGGCCACGAGTTGTAAACAATCTGCAAGATGCAAGAATTATGTGGTGGATCTGGGTTGGAGGGTTGGTAACTCATGTGCACAAACAGCCTCGGACATGGCCAACGTATGATTCACCGTAGAAACCTGCTTTGTATCCCGTTGAGCCAAACTACCATAACTACCATGCCGGCAAAGTGGGCACCGCGATTGAGCTCAAGGTGCTGGGAAAGCTTAGGTTGCCAGCAATAGCCACTGGGATCCTTTGGGTATGATGTCAAATGGCTGTGGGTCAAAATGGAAAAATGGACCAAAACCTGCGGTCCCCTGGTGGTTTAATTTTGAGTTGGAGCGCGTGTCTTTCTTGACTGGGCACAGAACTTGGCTTGGCGAGCCTGGGTGTTTCGCAACGGCCCACGTGCTAGCGAGTTGGTAGCCGCAGCCCCAACGCTGGCCCCTTCTTTTGAAACGCCGCAATGAGAAACCTCCATGTTGACCGTCAGGGCCGTTGCACGTGGAGAGAATTCAACGGCAGGTGCACCGTCTTGGCCGAGATCTGACGGAGAAGGCAGGCGAGAGCTGTGAGTTGTGACCTATGTCTGTCCCGTCGCTTCCAGACTTCGGACATCGGTCCAGCCTTAAACTGACAAGGACAGACCCCAAACTGATCGCCCCTTTGTTCAACCTTGATATCTTCAGAGCTTGAGTCATCTCACATCTGTGGGGCGTCCTCAAGCATCCCAGCCTGACATGAACAGAATTAACGAAACCCTGTGCATGGAAGCTGGGCAGAGTATCTCAGAGTGCTCAAAAGATGGCCCCTTTGTGCACTTCCTCCATCTGGTCAAGGGCATCCACATTGCTTCGCTGCTTTGGGACCAGTCAAGACATGAAACGGGGCTTGCAAAGGGCTATGCAATTTGACAAGCCCCTATACCTGCTCGGGCTGATCAAAACACGCATGCTGCCGAACTTGAGACCACTGTGCTTCCTTTTGGCAGAGAGGGCAATGCCAAAATTTGGCCAACTGATCATGACGACTCCTCACATTGTTTCAAGCCGGAGTGTAGATGTCAATCCGGATTGCTCCCAGATTACGAAACCAGCAATTCAAGTGGTTCTAGTGCCCCAACATCTTCCGACGTTCATGTTGCGACTGCCTCAACGTGCCCTTGCTTTTGGTCCAGGATTTTGAACTGGGCACGTTCACCATGCATCGCCGGTGCCTCCGCAGGAAAGGGAGTCTCGGGCCAAAAAGATGAGCGGAAGCGCTTTCGTAACCTTCCAGGACTCATATTTTTGCATGGTGGTGCGAAGGGAAAGTCAGGCGAACAGCATGCTCTATCTGCAAGCTGCTTGGTTGTTCCTTTGCAGTGTGTTTGTTTCTTTATTGTGTTCCAAGGGCCTTGAGTAAGCCTTCGCCTGCCCTTTTCCCCTTGAAGCAAACAACTCAAGTGACCAGCTTCATTGGCTGAGCAAGGGGTGCAAGAGCTGTACACCCACTCCTGTTCTACAAAGAATGGATGGCACATGGGACGGCACCAGACGGCGTCCTTTGAAAATTCAGGACAAAGCCTCCAAGCAAATCCTGCTGAAAGACCTTCCCACCTGCTGGAGGCTCGCTCGTTTTGGCTGTGAGTTGTGCATTGAGTTATTGAGTTGATGTGCTTGTCCCTGGGCAGATGTTGTTGGGTGTCCTTCTGGGTTTTGCTAGGCAGAACTCACCAGTGCCATCTGGCGCGCTTTGGTCTCCGTCAGTTGGTGCTCTTGGTCTTGCCTCTTTGGCTAGTCTGGGAGCGGGGAACGCGCCTGAAACTGCGTTCCACCGCAGTTTTAGCTCGGTACTCATGCATGAAGGAACCAGCGAAGCCAATGTGATGCACTGCAACAACTGCGCACTTGTACCCAGCGTGTTATCCACCCTCAAAACTGTTTGTCGGGGAGGTTTTGATATCGATGGTCTAGCCATGTCCACATTCGGAGTCTGTTGAGCCGCTATGGAAACCCATGGCGTCCTCGGGCCTCCGCGGGAGTTCAGCCACATCTACTCCTACCAGACAGCCGACAGCTATTGCGTGGCCATCCAGCTGAGACCGCCCTATGACGGCGGCGGCGGCACGCGGCAGATCCACAAGATCACCAGCGAGTGGGACAGCCGCAAAGGTGTCGAGGATCTCACCCCCAACGACATGATGATCAAATTCACGGAGCGCAGCATCGAAGTCTGCAAGAGGGGCGGCAGCTCGGCTTGGCACATGATCCGTGGTTTGCACGGGCCAACTCTGCAGCAGCTTAACAAGGAGAAGTGCTATTGGAGCATGACGAAGCTTGGCGTTTTCCAGCCTATACAAGTTTTTCGTTTTGTTTTTAATCCTCAGGAATTCATGACATATCACACTAGCAGCCTAAAAGCTTTTGAGGGTTCTATCCCACAAAAAGCCTACAAACTGTTTAAGAGATTCAGCAACCGCTGAGGAAGCATGGCGGCAAATATTGGCTGATCTCCATAGAGCTGGTGAAGAAGACGCCAGGCAAGCTGTGGAATCGGCTGATGCGGGATGAGCGAGAAGCGAACCGCCCAAGCATGAAGTGGGACAAGGACATGCAGAAGACGCCCATGATCATGGACAAGAGCGGGAAGTTTACGCCATCCACTTACTGCGATCCGACGTCGAAGCCGAAGTACGAGATGGAGGTGGACCTTGATGATGTCCTCATCGAGGAGTTGGATATGCTGGAAGATGCCCCGGAGACAGAGAAGAAGCAGTTGCGGATGCAAGATCTTTGCGACTTGCTTTGCAAGTTGGTAAAGGTTGGGTATAGTGGACAATCCAATCAGAATCTCGTTTGATTCTTCAGAACTCTTCAAACTGGTTGCTGTTGTGGGCCCAGACAACGCACTTGGGTTTAAGGTCAACTTGTGTGTGTGTGTGTGTGTTTTCCCGAATGCTTAGCAGAAGGGTTCCCGTTTAGAGGTGGGTGGGTCTGGGGGTTGGGGTGTGAACAGGATGTGTTGCTTTTGCGGCCGCAAGCGTGAAGCGCTCGCGAAGTGTTCGCGAATGTGTTTTGGAAGGTTGCGGGTTTGCGTGGCCGTGCCATTGTGACTGGCGTTTTAGGGGTGGTCGTTTTGAGGCGTTTTGCTCGGCAGGCGAGCGCAAGTGTTTGCTCAAGCGTCATTTTCATGGGCCTTGCATGTCTGCATTCGGGTTCGCAGCCTCTATCAGGTTTTAGGGGTATCTGTTGTCAGGCTGTTTTAAAGGGAACTTAGAAGGAAACCCGCAGCCTCTGTCAGGTTTTAGGGGTATTTGTTGTCAGGCTGTTTTAAGGGGAACAAACCACTCCACCAATTTTTGACACATACCCACTTGTTTCTCTTCCTCATCTCCATTAATCTCCCCAGTTAGGTGACCTGCGCTTCGGCATGGAGGAGTCCACCTTATCCATGCTGGTGCAGGTCAGGGTTTCGGGTTTCGGTCGCCGTTGCCTTGAGCAAGTGTTCGGATTGGATGTATCTCAATTTGTGTTCAAGCATCAACCCCGCAATTTCTCTTGAAGCCCCTTGAATCAGCCAACTTGGGTCTGGTTTGGCACGTGAGATCCATTTTGGATTCAATGGGAACCACTTTGGGGCTCCACCGCAAACTGGCCTCATTATTCCATGATCAAAGTCACCCCCTAAGTGGTGGGTTAAAGGGAAACAACCCCATTTTCTGACTTTGACCACCCCTCGAAACAGTCAAAACAATGATCCCAGTCAAACGCGGTGGGCGGACATGCCGGCAGGTGCCCTTGGACCCCGCCGTGTGGCGGGAGCTGCAACGCGAAAATGGACAGGAGGCCTTCGCACTGGAGGCACCGAAGCTTCGGTTGTGACTTTAAGGACACCAAACGCAGTGGGGTCTGTGGTTTTGGTTGCAGGTCTTTGGGGGTCTTTGAAAATTTGGGGTGTTTTTGGGGGGTGTTTGGTAACAATGTGAATTGACCAGAAGTACCCTTTTCTGGAGAAACTCACACAAGAAGCAGCGATGTGAACGGCAAATCAAAAGCTCAACCAGTCTGGACGTCCTTGGAAGCGGCATGAGCGCAAGCCAGGGTCCTAAAGGGTTTCATTGTTTAGCAACCCAACCCTCCCCCTCCTCCTCCCTCCTCCCCCTTGCCCCCTTGCTCCATCCGCCCACTTCAAGGTGAGAGTTTTGAGTTTGTTGCTCCAGGGCTGAGAGGTGGCAAGGAGTCTTGTGACAATCTAGATATGCTAGCAGGGCTCGACCATACACCCCACAGAGTTTCCTGATTGATCCAGCGGGATTTAGGTTTTGAGGACGTTGAACCAGTGCATCAAGCGGCATAAATGTTTGTTTCAGATGGCTTATGCTGCTGGCAATGCTGGCTCAATTCTGACTTCATATTGGCTTAGTTTCGTTCGATTGTTGTTTGTATGACCCATTTGAGATGGGAGACGATACTTGACTAGGGCGTGATTTTCTGCAAAGTGCCTGAGTCAGGTGCCCTTCGGCGGTCAGCAGGTCAAGTTCTGGCTGAAGTCGGACCCGGACTCTCCCATCTTGCAGGGCAAGCTGGGGGGCTGCGTGTGGCGCAGGGGCTGCAGGTTTCAGGTGGGCTGTCCATCAAAGTTCCCCCCCCATTTGGGTGTCCTTTTTGGTTGTTTTGGTCGAACAATAGATGGCCAGTTGTTTTGGTCGAAACATAGATGGCGATTCCTGGTTTACCTGGTGGTTTGATCATCTACCAGGGCCATCTATTTCCCCTAAAAGGACACCTATGGTGGTGTGCCCTGGGAGCGGCAAAACCCTGCCAGGTCGAGCAGCGGAAGGGGCGGCCCATTCTGGAGCTCTACATGCCAAAGCAGACGCCCGAGCCGTGGTCCTTTGTGGTGGAAGGCCGCTGGGCACGCAGATGTTGTCAAATATGTTGTCCAATTGTCCAGGGAATCAGTGTTGGTGGGTCGTGCATTAGAGATGTTGGCTTGTTGGTGCTTTTCAGAGTTCTAAATCGGCTGCCAGGCTATCACAACCTGAGTCGAACAGCTTACGATCCTTACCAGCAGATGATCTTGGACGGCCTTTGGGATGACGAGGCCATCGAGGAGAAGGCGAAAGGCGACGCCTATTTCCGTGAGAGCCAATACCGGGCCGCGGCCAAGTGCTACGACCGGACCTTGGAGCGGAACCCCGACAGCTACATCACCCTCACCAACCGCGCGGCGGCGCGCCTCGCCTTTGAGAACGAGAAGTTCAAGCTGGAGGAGATTTTGGAAGACGCCCAGCGCGCCTTGGAGATCAACCCCACCTGGCACAAGGCCAAGTTCAGGGAAGGCATCATCCTTTGCAAGCTGCATCGCTATGATGAGGCCGTGTGGGCTCTTCAAGAAGGGCAGCGCATGGATCGAACCAACCATCCCGGTTGGGAAGATGAAATCAATGAAGTGAAGGAGGAGAGAGTCAAGTGGCACAACAGGAAGAAGAAGTCCTATCTCAACGACATCGAGTGATGCAGCGGACATCGTGCGATTAAAATGGTGCGCACATTCGCCGTTTGTCGCAAACTGTTGAGATTCATTCCGAAATCCTGACAGAAACAGAGAGCCAGAGACAGAGAGAGACAACATTAACCTCTCTTCTTTTGCATGATGTTGTTCGCCTTGTACCGACATGTCAGAATCTTTGGAGAGGCCCTGGGATTGCCATATTTTTCATGAGCGCACACTGCCAAAGTCCATGGATTTGTTCTGCGGGACGGGGAGGGGCAACCACCACAGCTTGGATTCGACTATTTTAGCATGTGTTGCATGGGAGTCTTCATTCTTGTTGCTTTTCGTTTCGTACGGCCGAGCAAATACCATCGGCATGTCTTTCCCATGCTGGTGTCCCTGTCCTTTGCAGCAAAGGCGGAAGCAGCAAGGCAAGTAAAACCAAGGAAAAACTATTCCTGAGAGAAGACACGTGGTTGCGATGTGCTGCTACCCAGGAAAGCCATCTAAAAGTTCGGTCTTTGCCCATTTGTAGCATGCCCTCCATATCTTCAGACAGGGATTACGGAATTCAGGCGCGCTTGGTCTTTGGATCGACCGAGCAAAACAGGCTTTGCCGGTGATGCCTCAGCCCATCCTTCCCCAGAGGCGCCTCCAAGATCCCAAAGTTCGCTGCTTCTGCTTTGATCACAGGTGTCAGCAGCACGCCTACTTCAACTTTGGCCAGCCGCCCTTCAACTCAGTGACCTTGAGGCTAGGGGAGCATCGGCTGATCTCAATCCGAATCTGAGGCCACCCTGCCGACCCATCAGGGTTGTTCGACACGCTATAGGCAGTACTCAGGCGTTGTGACTCCATTGCGAACCATTGTGCTTGATTGCCTCCTGCCGGAAGGTGAAGGCAAGTCGCACGCTGCTGGCGTGATTTGTGGTTGGGAGGACCATCCTTGTTCCTAACTTGTAATTCAGCAGCCAACATGCCTTGGAGCAGAGCCGCGATAGTTTAGGATGATGGGTCAATGTTGGGCAAGGATTTGTTCAACCATCTCCCATTGACTCAAGATAGGCACACGAGCCACGTTTGAAATGGTTTCTCAAGCGACTTTGGGAAAATAGTGATGCTACGTGAGGATTAAGTTGGGCTGTGGTAGCAAATGCACTGCACTCGCAAGTTGCAAAGCTATATAACTTCAAAGCTTCTTGTCATTCCTTTTGTTCCTGCCTTCCTTCCTTCCTTCCTTCCTTCCTTCCTTCCTTCCTTCCTTCCTTCCTTCCTTCCTTTCCTCCCTTTCTTGTTTCCTTCCTTCCCTGCCTCCCCCCTGTATTCTTTCTTGCTTGCTTGCCTTTTGCTTCTTTCTTTGTTTCTTTCTTTCTTTCAATCATTGTCCTCTCTCATTCTTCTATTCCTTCATTCTTTCCGGCTCGCTCTCGTCCTCTCTCTCGCTCTTGTCTTGGAGCCAGGTGCCGACGGGCGCCGCACCCGGCCGATGTGCTTTGGGAGAACCTTCACATCTCTTACGCAGCCAGGCAGGGCGCTGGTTGGAGGCCCTTAAGACGTCAACGTGGCAACGTGTTTCTTCTGACCAGTGACATGAGAATCCATGACAAAAGTCAAGCTAGACTCCTCACAGAACTGGACAGCAAAAATCGAACCTTCTTCAGGGTTTGTCTTACTTTAACATCCAGGAACCTCTTCAGCAGTGCATGCATGTTGGTGCTTTTGCTTGGATAATGTCCGCGGTTTGTCTTGGCCAGATTGTTTCAGGCTGGTGCGGTTCTTCGTGGGCTCCGTTCTGCTGCTGATCTTCATGCTGGTGCTGGTGGCCCCGCTTTCCATCTCCTCCGAGTTGAACGTCTTCATCTCGGACCCGTGAGTTGGAGAGTGGGAAGGGAGGTGAAACAAAATCTATGAGGTTCAGTTCAATGCTGAGAAATTAGTTTGGGATGGATGACTTAAAATTTAGGGGCCGAAAATCCGGGGGATCTCAAGGTCTTCGTGGTTCCCGCGGTGGCTCGGGCTCTTCGCGTTTGGCCAAACCAGGCGGACGGACTCGTTGCCGGCCAGCATTCCGTTACTTGCTTCCCGCGCAGATCATGCCTGTAACCCAGAGGCTGCGGGCCCCAAGGCCCCAACGTTCGGAAGCTTGCTTTGATTTGTTCAGATGAAATTTCGCAACGGGGAGGGATTACCCAAATACTGCTGAATTCTTAGCTGCGGCCGCGTACTTCGTGATAGTCAGCGCTTTACGGTATCAACCTGGGCAATGCAAAGCGAGCTCGACGAGCGCAAGCCTATGTGACTCAGTACAAAGGCCCTTTGCCCATCCGCCAATTCATTCAGAATAGGGCTGTCGTCAGCCACAGCACATGCTTTCTTGCCACCAGCCTATCGCTGGTGCGATTTTTCTGCCGGGAGTCTCAGGTCCAAGTTGCATCACTAAGGCTTTTGGTTTTGAGCGCCTCGAACGAGGTTTTTCCAATAACGTTGACGGATTAATAAACCCATCCCTTTGTTACGGGGGTGGTGTTCCCTCCAAAAGTGAGGCATTATCACTGAAAGGGAACACCCCCCTATTCATCAACCGGGTTTATTAATCCGGGGTCAGCATTATTCGGAAAGGCCACGCAAACCTTGCCCGGGATGTCCTCGCCAGGAGCTTCGGCGCGGATCCGACGCCTTGAGAGACAAGGCGTGGTGCCAGGAATCTGCACTGCGGAGCTGTTTGGGTTTGTCTCAAAATGATGGGGCC